CAGCAGGAAGAATGCCAAGGGGGTCTCACTATGAGGTGCACAGTGGGAAAGCACCACCCTGTTCAATTCCACATGCAGAGTGGGACCAGAAGCAAGGGAATTCCAAAGCAAGCTTTAGGAACAAATCCTCCTATGCTGCAGAAGAGCAACATGCAGAGAGACAATATGGACTGATGAGAACAAGGTCTGGACAAACATTTGGCCGAACACTCTCTAAAAAGGGAATTATCTCTGGAGCACTGGACAACTGGGACACACTAGACATAATTTAGCCTTAAAATATCATTACCAAGTAACTTGATTTACACTGAAGATGAAGACAAAACTCTTGTCTGGACAATTCAAAGAAAAATATGACGAAGAAAACCATCATGAGCAAGTAGCTATTAACAGGCAAAGTACTGAGATTGATTACCTCTGAGCATGAAGGGTTCTGGAGAGCTCAGCCCTCAGCAAGCTGTGCTGTCCCAGCCCTGCACTGTCAATGGGAAAGACAACACAAATCTTCTCGTGAATCCATGAGAGTGCTGCCCTGAAGGACCACCCCTTGCTGCCCAAACCTCCCCTCCCAGGGGAGCACAGTCTCCAGCTGTTCCGACGGAACCGTGGCACTCACCAGAATCGCCATCTCTCGCCTGCTGTGCCAGCAGCACCCTAGGTTTGTCACCACCCTGTGTTTGTCACCCTCGGAAAGGACTGGCCACAAGATGCCAAGAGGCCAGATGCAGGATGCACAGGGAAAGGATTCAGTGGCTGACACGATCAAACTGTAGGAGTTAAAAAGCCAACTTACAGTTATGACTGTTTCTCACTGAAAATTAACTGAACCTGTCCTTCAGGAAGCTGTGTGTGTGTCACTTCAGTAAGTGATTTTGTACTCACAGATACAGCTGTTCAGGGGGATTCCATTCCATTCCAGTTCCCACAAGCAGCAGGTCAGGCTGGGGACTTAGGGGGACGGAGGTAGTGGAGGTGCTGCATGCCTGCCCCTCCAAAAGCCACAAAATCCCCTAAGAGCTGGTGCTCCACTCTCTGAAGCCCACCAGACAGACCCACCACAGCCCCCAGCCAGCTTCACTCCCCAAACCCCACCAGACTGACCCCCTGACCAGCTCACCTGCCCCGAAGAAGGGGAAAGGCAGCCCGACACCCAACCTATGATAAAATATCTCAGCTTATCTTCAGACTGTTTTATATAAATAAATAAGTATATATATACACTTTTTTTCTGGGCTTATTTTATTTATTTCTAGCAGGTATCAATGTCTGTTTAATTCAAACATACTGCCCCCTGGGACTCATTAGTAGTTTAACAAACTGCCTGGGTATCAACACATGGCAGATAAAAAGACAGAATTTTAAAATATTGTATGTATGCCTACAAAAATAATCCGGGTGAATGATGAAAGGTGTCAGGGAAGTGCTCGACCACATCAAACAATGAAAACATTCCTGAGATGGGCTGTTTAAATATTAAATAAATACTCAGAACTTCTGTAAATGTCGAACTGGAGAAATGATGGAATGCTATTTTTCCTAATCTGTTTCCACTGTAATTATGGACTCTATACTCCAGCTAAAAAGATCATTTATCTTGTGCTGAACATTTCAATTGCTTTATCTCCAATAAATTGCAGATATTACCTTCCACGGGTAACTAAGCCCAGCGCAGGAGCTCCAGGCACAGCTGATGTGCCTGGAAAACACTTAACATTTGTCTTAATTTTTTTATTTTCTTTTATAAAATGTTTTATCTCTATTTTTGTGAAAGCTTTTTTACCAAATTACGTATTGCAAAAAAAAAAAATTAATTTATTCCATTCAGAAAGACTCATTTTGGGTGGGCAGGAAGGCTGTTTACAGGCAAATATTCTGAACTGTATTCCCTTTTTTTATAATACCACTTGTACAACAATATATATACCAATATCTAGTACTATACTAATAACAACACATGTAAGTAATTTTTCCATGAGCTGACCTGGGGCATGGAAGAGGGTTCCTGTGTCCTTGCCACCAGCATGCAGCAGAGACATTTCCACAATGACACAGATACACAGATAATTTATGCAAAATACACCCAAAGCATGTGTGAGAACCGGGAAACTAATTAAGTAGAGACGGCGCTAATGAGGGCTGGCAGCCAGGAACAACGGCTGTGCCAGGCGTGGGGACAGAGGGGAGGGAAGAACACATCCGTGGGAATGGAATAGGGCTGGGCACTGCCAATCCTGGGCACAGAATCCCAGAATCCTAGAATCATTTAAGTTGGAAAAGTTCTCCAGGACTGTTGAGTCCTACCTTTGACCCATCACCACCTTGTCAACCAGACCAAAGCACTGAGTGCCACTTCCAGTCATTCTTTGAACACCTCCAGGAATGGGGACTCCACCACCTCCCTGGGCAGCCCCATCTAGTGCTTGATAACTCCTTCCATGAAGAAATTCTTCCTGCATGGCACAGCCCAGAACAACACTTGTTCATATTTTGCAACCTGAACCATATAGTCATTTCCTCCCACTTTTAGTAAGCATTTAAAATCCAGTTCTAAGAAAAAGGACCAGTAAGGGCACAGATTTGCAGTACTTATCAACGCATTTGATTCATCCTGAAATACCAGATATTTACCGGTCTGTGTGGGATTACAGAAAATCTGAGCTAAACCAGAGACTACACTACAGTAATTGGTTTTTGTTGCTGTTTTAGCCAGGCAAAGCTGAGCAGCAGGCCTGGTGTTACAGGTCCATTGCTGCTAAGAAAAAGTGGTTTCTCACTGCTCCTCTGTGAGAGCTCAGTTCAGATTACAAAGGTGACATCAAATCTCAGCACTTCCATAAATATTCAGAGCCTGAGCATTCTCCATCTGAGGCGCTGGGACTCAGGCTCTCCACTGGCAGAAAAGGTCACTGCTGCTCATACTGCAGGTGTGGGAAACCTCTTCCTGAGAGAGACACACAATTTGATGGGATTTGGTGGAATAAGTGTGCTCAGAAACAAATGCCTGTGCTTGTTTTATTACTGCATTACTCTAGTAATGCAGGGAGTGAAGGGATACCTGCTTAGGGATTAATCTAGCTCAGATTGTGTCCCGTGTGACCACAACAGTGAGGCGCCAGAGCTGTGGGGGCTGTGTCAGGAGCAGCACTGACAGTAGCGGGGGGGAGCCCTGGGGGTGCTGGGTCCATCTCCCCAGTAAAGAGAGAGAGGGACTTATTGCACAACCCAGCGAGGGGCCCCGAAGATGAAGGGACTGGAGTATCTCTCCTCCAAGGAGAGTCTGAGAGAGCCAGGACTGCTGTGCTGGAGCAGAGCAGGCTCAGGGGATCTCACCAACATATACAGGATCGAGCCAAGGAGATGCAGCCAGGCTCTTCCAGTGGTGCCCAGGGCCAGCACCAGAGGCCACAAGCACACACTGGCACGCAGGAGGGTCTCCTTTGACACCAGGAGACACGTTTTTACTGTGAGGTGACCGAGTACCACAGGGAGGTGGTGGAGTCTCCACTCTCAGAGATACTCAAAACCCACCTGGACATAGCTAGGGGTTGCTGGTCCAGGTGACCTCCAGCAGTTCCCTCCAACCTCAACCAGTCTGTGCCTCTGTAACAATCTCCTACATGTAGTCTCTGTTTTTATCAGACTTTCCCAGAATTCTCAGAAGGGTTCTTTCCTCTGCTCACAGAGTTCATTTTTCTTAGAAAGGAATGTTCTGCCTGGTGCACTCCCTGGTTCCAGCCGAGTGGTACTCCCCCTCGGTGTCCTGTGCTGGTTTAACAGTGTGTCACAAGGAGTTTTTCCTATCACAGACTGGAGCTGTGCTTTGACTGTTAATTCCTTTATCCTCATCTCTGACATAACATCTTCACATTCAGATAAAGGAATTCTACTGTAACCACTGCCCCTGTGACTACTGCACAGGATAACAGAAGAAGCAGTGCTCAGAATAATAATGGAGTTAAATCTTTTGTTGCAGCTATAACTAAGTGAACCACCATGTGCAAATATTTAACATTACTGAAATATCTAGTCTGAAATTTTAGAAAAATTAAGAAATCCCTAATTAAACCCTTCAATGCTTATTTAACATATCTCAGATGCTGTCAGCAATGAAAACTCAGTGCAAAAGAACAGAGGTGTAGTTCCAACAGAAGAGATAGATCATGGTCCTTACTGGAGTGAGTCAAGAGTGCAAATAAGGATAAAACAGATCTTTGTGGTGTGCATTGCTCTGATTAGGGCTGTTATCACTTGCATCGCAGCAAAGTCTCACACCTAGAAAGCACAGTGAAGCTTTCAGCTTTTTTTCTTAATCTTCTCTGTCAGCAGTTTACAATCATGAAAAACTATGGATTTGTTGAAACTTTTTTTCTAACTTCATAAACTCTTTTTTCCCCCCAGTAGCTCCTATAGTGCTTCTACAGCTACTTTTTATTGTAAGATTTCTGTGTAATGAGATCTTATCCAGGCAAACCCTCCTGTCATTCCCATTTATTTGTATTTGGTATCTGTAGTCACAGCAAACTCTGAATTCAGATGGAATCCGCAGATAAAAACCACAATATCCACGGCAAGGAACCGCAGGCGGAAAAACCCTCAGCTGTGTGACTCCTGCCAGTTGCTAACAGATAAAGCACACGCTGACGCCTGCGATGAGTCCGGGTGAGGTCCGCTTACCAAACCGCAGCCCTGCTCCGCGCTCACCAGCGCGCCCCAGGTGCTCCAGGTGCGGCCGAGGCGGCACCAACCGGCAGGTGCGGGCAGGGCTGAGTTAAGCGGGCGAGTTCGTGCGCGATTAGGATTCTGTTCCTAACTGGACTAACAACCCGGGCATCCACCTCCTCCTGCTTCCCCGAGAGCGCTCGGAGCGCTCCCGCGGCCGCAGCGCCACAATCCCCGCCCGGAGCGCGGCGGAGCCGCTTCTCCCCGCCCGGCCGGGCGGGCCCGAGGGCTCCGCACCGCCCCCGCCCCGCCGGCGCATCCGGGTCGCGTTCTGCGGCGGCGGCAGCGCAGGTTCCCGGCCCGGCCGTGCCGGCGATGGGCGGGCGCAGCGCGGCGCGGCGGGAGCACACGGGCCGGCGGCTGGCGCGGTTCGCGGCGCTGCGAGGTGGGATGAGGTGGGATGAGGTGGGATGGGGTGGGATGGGGTGGGATGGGGTGGGATGGGCGGGCGGGCGGGGGCGGCGGGGCCGGCCCGCGGGGCTGCCGAGCGCTCGGGGCCGGGGCGCAGCCGTGCCCCGGCAATGTCTGAGCGCAGCCGCTCCCGCAGGCGCGGCCGCCCGGCCCGGCGAGCTCTGGGACGTGGTGGTGCTGACGGCGGCGGACGCGGCGCAGGCGGGCGCGTTCCGGGAGCAGCTGGCGGAGAAGCTGCGGCGGGGGGAGCTGCCGAGGGGCGTCCGGTACCACGTGTGCGCCGACCCGCCGGGGCCCAGGATCGGTGCGTGCGGCTGGCCCGGGGCCGGGGCTGCGGGGGGCGAGGGCTCCGAGCGCCGGCCGCGCCGCTCCTCGTCTCCCCGCGGCTCCGCCTCGGCGGGGGCGGGCAGGGCAGGGGGTCGGGTCCGGGAAGAGCTCGGGGACTGGGTCCGGGAAGAGCTCGGGGATTGGGTCCGGGAAGAGCTCGGGGATTGGGTCCGGGAAGAGCTCGGGGATTGGGTCCGGGAAGAGCTCGGGGGGTCCGTGCAGGGCTCAGTGCGGCCGTAACGGGCAGGATGGGCGGTGGCAGGAGCCCACCTGGGGCTCCATCGTGGTGCTAGTGAATGGGCGTGTTGGTGATCCTGTACAGCTCCTCAGAGTGTGTCCTACGGATACAGAATAGCACTGGCTCGTGTGTTTTAGAAATTCATACTTAACCTGATTGCTTAAACAGTTTGATTATATTTTAATATATTACCTAGTGGGCAGCAAAACTCTAGGAAGAAACTAGCCTGACCGCCCATAATACCATCCTGTAATTCTTAATTGCTGTTCCCTTTGATGTACAAAGTAACTAATATCGGTATTATTTGCAGTGTAGAGTAATAGGCAGAGATTAATTCTCAGAAATCTGGCAGCTTTAACTTGTAGGTGCATAAAAAATATCCCAGACCATTTCCTTGTATCGTAAAGCTTCCTCTTTTCCATACTGTAAATTTCAGAAGTACTTTTGAACACTGCCTTGAAGCCACTAGTGAGTTTTTGTGTGACCTGTTTCCTACAGGAGCTGGTCTTTATGGCTGGGTTATGGCCTGTTCAATTGATTAAATGTTTCAAATGTTTGGCCTGTGCAGAGGTGACTGGGAGAGAAAAACAGTTTTCCCAAGAGCTGTCTGCTAAGGATGCTCTGCCCTAGGAGAGCACAGGCTTCCAGAGAAACTATCCATCAGCTTCTCTGCATGATCTTATCAACCACAATAGGGTAGAAAATCTGTCCCATCAGCACTGCTGTGGGAGGTTTCAGCTGGACACCAGTACACCTCACCTGTCAGAGCAGGTGTTATTGGAGCTCTTCTCACAGATACTAAAATACTTCTCCTTTAGGAAATGGTGGATCAACTCTTCATGTTCTTCAGTACTTGGAAGATCTGTATGGTGATCAGTGGGCTTCCTTCACTGTGCTGCTAATCCATTCTGGTAAATTCGATTTTACGTTTCTCACTCTAAAACTGTACCCATTTTTTCCCCTTCCTTAAAATGACAGAGGAGTCAGAGTTCCAAAATATAGTTCCCTCAGAAAAGTCACCCCAATGTGTGTGATCATTTGAAATTAGGTTGGTGCTTAGAGGATGTTACTGTCACTTCAGCATTTTTTCTCAGCACTCAAGTTGTTCAATCAAGCAGTGAGAAAGAGATGTATTTCAGAGTGTCTGATTGAGTTCCTGCCTTGAAATACCCATTTAAGAAATATGACCCTCTCACAGTGGAGGGGACCTCGAGCTCCTTATACCTCTGGGCAGGCTGAGTACTTGCCTTCTTATCCAGTTAGTCAGGACACTTCCAGACGTGGAAGAACGTCAGTTCTGTAAAGAAACCAGGTGATAAGTTTCTGACCAAACCTCTGCTTATTTGACTCATCTCTGGATTAAAATTCCCATCAGAAGTGTGGGGGTCCTCCTCTTTTCCGAGCAAAAAGTAGGTGTCATTTGCTTTCAACACTTCAGCAACAGGCAGCTCTGAAACAAACTAAAGATAACAAAATCAACCACAATTTTAATATGAGCTATTTAAGGCAGGGTGTGTTTTGGACATAAGGTCAAATCTGCTTTGGGAAATGTTTGAAGAAGAATGATTGATTTCTTCACATCTGTCATTCTTCAAGGAATACTTGGTATGTGACCAAGCGGAGGGGTTTTTAATGCCTGTGTGCACCTGTGAAATAGCTGTATAGGTTTAGTTTTTTCCTTTACTTACATACAGTGTCTCTGTGTAACTAAATTTCTCTTACTTTTCCAGGTGGTTACAGCCAGCGTTTACCAAGTGCAAGTGCCCTGGGGAAGATCTTCACGGCCCTGCCATTTGGAGATCCCCTTTACCAGATGCTGGAGCTGAAGATGGCCATGTACATCGACTTTCCCCGTCACATGAAACCAGGAATCCTCGTCACGTGTTCGGATGACATAGAGCTGTACAGCACTGAAGTGACAGAAACCATCGCGTTGGATAAACCTGGATTTACCGCCTTGGCTCACCCCTCAGATTTGGCAGTCGGGACCACTCACGGGGTGTTTGTCTTAGATCCGTCCAGTTTTTCAGGAAAAGGAGGACTGGAATATGCATCTTGCCATCGTTTCCTGCACAAGCCTGACGTGGGGATGATGCGGCAGAGTGGTGCAGTGTGTGTGAGGGGCATTGCTCCTCTGGGAACCACGGCGACTCAGGAATGGCCTCGGAGTGTGTGTACACAGACAGCATATTCTACATGGATCACCTCACTGCAAAGCAGCTACTGATGTTCTATAAGCGGATGGGCACACTTTGCTATGAAATAGATGCATATGGTGACTTCCTCCAGGCCCTGGGGCCCGGAGCCACTCCAGATTATACCAAAAAAATGAGTAATGTCACCAAGGAGGACTTGGGGTTGGTGGAAGTTCGGCAGCAGTTATACTCCCTCCTGCGAGGAACTGCCCTCAATGTCATAGTCCTCAACAACTCCCAGTTCTACCACATTGGAACTACTCAGGAGTATTTGTTTCATTTTACAGCTGAGAGCAAACTGAGATTTGAGCTTGACTTGCTGCCTGTGGCTTTCAGTATCTTTCCTGACACAGCCGAGACCTCAGATCAGTCAAGCGTCATCCAGAGCATCCTTGAGCCCAGATGTGTGATAGGGCCTGGCTCTGTCATTGAATACTCCAGAATTGGGCCTGAGGTCTCGGTAGGGAAGAGCAGCATTGTTAGTGGGTCCTGCATAAATTTCAGTGTAGAGATACCCTCACACTGCTTTCTGAGTTCAGTAACTGTGAAAATTAATGACCAAGTTGAGTATGTCACCATGGTGTTTGGTGTAGGAGACGACTTGAAGAAGACTGTGACTTTGCTGTCAGATGTACACTCGCTCCAGTTTTTTGGAGCCAGCTTAGCAGAATGCCTGGGCCTCTGGAGTATAGAGGCTTCAGACCAGCTCTTCTCCAGTGGGAACAAACATCTGGGACTGTGGACTGCCAGGATTTTTCCTGTTTGTTCTACTCTAGGTGAATCCGTTAGGATGTCGCTGAAGATGTTGAATTCTGTGCAGCACATGTCACCTTTCAAACTAAGTGGCTTTCGGCTCATGTCTGTTGAAGAAATGCTCGCCTACAAGGATGTAGAAGACATGCTGAAGTTTAGGAAGCAAATTTATGATGAAGTCTGTCTACAAAGACAAAAAGAGAAGTCTGATTGTAGAACGAACTGTACTTGAACAAATCTGTTTTCATTTGTGGGTAATTGATTACTTCATAGCTTATAAGAATGCTGAGGAAAAAGTACACAGATCTTTTCTCTGATCTCATTGAAGTAATAATAAAGAAATTGCATTAACAGTGTTGTTGTAGCATAACATTAATAATACAGCAAATGTGATAAACTGTTCTTTTGATGAAAGTAGTAAAATATTTCAGATCTGAAAGCACTAATTGGTGACTTTCGTGGAGTGCATGTTATTATGTCTTGTAGTTTTTGTCAGTAAGAATATGACACGGAACAAATTAATTAGAAATTTGACTGAAAATTTCTTTAAAAGCTTTTAAAGAGTAGAATATTAGCTCCAGCAACATGGAATAATACAACAATAACTTATGTTTCTCTCCTTTCATGCTGCCTTTTTGCAGTACAATTTCAATTAGGTAGAGGTAAAAATTATTAAAAATACTTTTAATTCAAGACATCTTGTCGTAAGTATTAATATTTTTTTTCCTCTTTTATTTTGTAAGTTGTTTTATTCCTGCCTGTTTTTCATCAGAGGAAAAAGATTGGCATGAGAGATCATTCTTTCCCTTGTGACTCATGTTACTGGGTCAGCACCTGTCATCAAGACATACGGATTTATTTTTTTGTACTGATAGTTGTTTGGATGCTTGCAGTGGGGTTGGACAGCTGCCAGCTTTTTGTTGTCCACAGATTGACTGATGTGTGCCACGTGAAAACCTGCATTTTGTATTTCTCCAAACTGAACTGCTGGAGGCCTTAGAGTGAGGGTTCACCCTCCTGCAGGGCAGTGGAGCAGACATGGGCCATGTTCACATTTGTGAGCATTGTGTCCTCAGAACAGTGTCTGTTCCCTCTTCCCCTTCTCCACTCTCATATTTTATTTAATGTGTCATGATGACAGTGTTTATCTCCCTACTGACTAAATTCCCAAATGGCACCTTCCTTATGCCACCCATAAGGCAGCAGTGTTAACATCCCCTGAGCATTACCCACCCTGCTTTAACCTGCACCAGGTTTCCTCCTCATTGATAAAGAAACCTCCCAAGAGACACAGTATTTTTCCTGAGGATTTCTTCTGGGCAAGAAGAAACACAAAGGAGCTAGATGTGGAGGTTGGGAACTGCTGGGGTAGACTTAAAGAAATAAGGAGAATTTCTGAGCAAACAGAGGTTCTAAAAGTCAATAGTTTAACAATGGAAACGACATTAGGCTTGAGAATACTTGGGTCTAAGATATATGCATAAAGTCACAAAGTAAAAATAGTCATAGAGCATGGAATTGTGGCTTGCCTGTCATCTGTTTGCATGATGTATTTGTCTATTGTTACACAAAACATTTTAGGAGAAACAAGTGTTTGACACAGACATTGCACCTTGAGCTGGAGAACAAACTTTGCTCTGCACGGCCTTCCCTGAGGGTTACTGTGCTGCCAGGAGAGCTCTCTGGGTTTTCAGTAACAGCAAAATGCATCCTTTTAATGCGATTATGCACTTTAACTGTTACAGCTGCATTTGTTCTGAATTCCCTAAGCACCGTGCATTGATTTCATTAGTGAAAGCAATCTGGATATAAATAGGAAAGGGATTTGCTTCTGGCACATAAGTATTGGGAAAAGCGAATGAGGAAAAGCACAGTGACTGAACAGCTTTTGGAAAAGGTTGGGGTAGGCTGGGCCAGCAGCAGCTGCTGTGGTTTAGGGAGCAGTGTGCATTCCAAGACAAACCCACAGCTGGCCCTGGGGCCAGTGGGTGTCCCAGGCTCTGCCAGCCCACAGAGAGGACGGGAGAGGTGCTGCCCGGGATGTTTCAGGTCTCCTCTCCTGGTGAGCTGAGTTTTTTATGCAAAGCTGTGAAGCAAGTGATGTCCAGCCCCAAGAACAGCTCAGAGCAGGGTATCAGGAATCACCTACTGGGAAACGAAACATTCAGATCTCGAGGCAAAGTTTTTAATGAAAAAAAATCTGTTGCAATGAAATAAGCAGAAAAAGATTTACTAGGTAAGAAACATTGCACTGCTTTAAGTCTTTATGCCACCTCATGCTTTCCTCTTACACTGAACATTTTTGTCTTAAATTTAGAAGGCGCATTTTGGTCAATATTAGACCTGAATAATGTCAGAACGCTTAATGGATTTACTCCACAGGTATTGAAATATCTGGATTTGTACCATTACTCATTTTTAAACTGCAATTATGAAAAACATTACAAATTATATTTCATTTATATAAAGCTATATTGATTATTTTCCCATGTGTTTTTGTCTCACATAGAGCTCTGTCTGTGCTTATTCACAGACATTCTTGGACTCCACACTTGGCAATAAACATTTTTACATATATCAGCTTCCACTAATTTCTACTAAGCCACAGGTAGTGTGTATTTGCCCATTAAATTTCTAATGCATCTGTCATCTGTGGGGTCTTTCTTACTCTCAAAAAAACGATCATTGTGGAGTTGGAGGTTAGAAAGTTTATGGAACTATTTGGAGGAAATGCTACAGAGAGCAGCTGGTTCTTTGAGTTTCCTGTATCAGCCTCAGACCAAACTCCGAGAGCCTGAATGAATCCCCCACTTAATGGAACTCTTTCCTGTATGTCTCCATTCCTGGAGGGATTTAAAAGCCATTTGGATGTGACACTTGGGGACATGGGTTAGTGGTGGCCTTGGCAGTGCTGGGGGAACAGTTGAACTCGTTGGTCTCAGAGGGCTTTTCCAGCCCAAGTGATTCTGTGATCCTGCAATTCTCTGTAGCTCTCTATGAAGTGTGTATGTTTTTAGCTATAACAATATGCAGTACCTACAGCAAAGACTGTGTTATAGTGTGATCAGAGTCTTATTAAAATCAAAAAAGCCTGAAGACCAGACCCTTCCTGACAATAATAACCTGTGTCTGACATACTCTATCTGTGTATGTATTTTATCCATATTGTATTTACAACTTGAGGTATTCCACAGTCTGCTGTTTATGTAGATGACAACAATTTTCTCATGCAACCAGCTGGGATAAACACATCCCAAGGTTTGTGCAAGGCCACCAAATAAACCTTGACAGCAAGATCATAGTAATTCTGGGTTGCTGTTTTCCAGTACTGGGTTCTGAAAACAAGACCACCACAGCATCCTGGCCCATGATTTTCCTCCAGTCTGAGTATTGAAGGATGCAGTGCTGACAGTGCCAGGCAGGCAGGACATTCTGAGGGCAGGATTCATCTACTGAAACCTGGAGCTTGATTTTGGTTAAGCCTCATTGAGTTTCCCAGATGGGTGCAGTGTTGTTACATCCTCTAGATCATTGCCTGGCTCCATCTATCCCGAAATACAACTCGGCCTGGTACAGTCTCAAACAAAAAGATAAGTGTTTAAATGATTTCATTCATGTCAGCTTTCTGTATTTAATTAGATTTTCTATGTAGTGCAATAATAGGGCTCATAATGAACAACGTTGCAATAATTTCCCTGAATGCTTTGAGCACGTGGCATGGTGAGCAGAGGTTTGGCCCTGCTGTCTGAAATCTGTAGGGTTATTTCAGTGACCTTTTGGGGCAGGAAACTGAAATCTGAGAAACTGGGCACTTAAAAAAGAGCACAAGGGAAGGCAGCTGAAATAAAAATGAACAGCTGAGAGGAATCTCTGCCAGAAGGATTTGGGGAGCTGACAAAAGGAGGTAAGCTCCAAGGATCATCTGGATCTGCAGACAATGTTCATGCCTTGTCAGGGTGTTTGTGCTGGAGTTCAGCGCTTCCAGCCTCTTCTTGTTCCTGTATCTCGAATGCAAGAGCTTCATTTTCTGCTCTCTGCACATGTGGAACATGAGTCCCCGTGCAAAGGCCTCTGTGGTGTCGTGAGAGCAAAAATAGCAGCGCTATTCTGCTGTACACTGTGTTCATCTGCTGCCATGGAGGAGCCACTGCAAACACCTGCTCCCTTACAAGGGCTACAGAGTTCCTTCATAATGGAAATATGAGTTATAAATATGTATTTTCTTTTAGTGCCCTTTTCATTTCCTGTGATGTATCTGAGCGTCCCCAGTATGGCACTGAAATTTATAGGAGCAACGTACAGCCTCTCCAAGTAAAGGATAGATAGGGATATGTTCTAATTGTGGATATGTTCTAATTGATTTGAAATAGTTTCAAAAGACTTGCTGCTGTAAAGCCTCCGTGGGAAGGATATTTAAAACCAGAAACAAGAATTATTTACACATTTCTGCTGTAAGATTGGCCATGACACCTACACATTCCAAGCATGAAACTGCAGCAAAACTTACAAAAATTATTCAGATAAAGTTGTACAGCTCAGTATTCTGTAAATATCACATCTGAAGAATTTACTTGCTTACAAACATTACTCATGATGTTTTAATGCTACTTGTGGAGATGTTTATTCAAGCTGGCCTCACAAACAGCACAGTTTCTCAATCTTCTCTGTTTGCAAACAGGCTCTGCAATTATTATTCTTTTTTATCTTTCCCCCTGCCCCCAGTTTCAATTATTCTGCAGCTGCTTCATGCAGCCGAGGATGTGAATACTCCAGGAATTCACCTGCTGCCGGTGTGAGCAAAGCTGCTGTGTTGGCAGGGCCAGCTGACAGGATCAGCTCCAGAGCTGCCCTTTCAGGGTCCTTCCCTGAGTGTTCCCACAAATGAATCTTCACCCACACAAAGGTTTGCGGAGAGTGAGTAAAAATACGGTATGGAAGCTGATGACTGCTTTTTGGTATATTTTCATAAATGAGGTGGTAGAAGAATACAAGTACTATGCAAGGTATTTACTTCTTGTAAAAAAAAAAATCATTTCATCTGTCTCTTTATGGAAATCTCACACTTTACTTTATAAAATTGTTGTACTAAACTGCTTTTTCTGTGCAGAATGAACAGAGCATTTCTAGGGCTCTGGGGTCTGTCCTGTTCCTGTCACAGTTGGCTTGGTCTGGATGGGAGAAAAGTCCTTCAGGAGACGGGTCTCAGGGAAGAAACTATCCCATGGCAGAGGGAACACCATGGGAAAGGGGACACCCTGAGAGCCTGGGAGCATATCCCCTGCAGTCCCAGTTGTTTGGCAACTGGATGTGGGGATCAGTTGCCAGGCTGGTGGCTTTCTGCAACTATTTGGTCAAATGTCACAGAGCACATTGTCACAGCAGTTCAGACTCCTCTGAAATAGATCCTTGGATTCATGTGTAAATTTGTGCAAGTAAAGGGATGAGCTGGTAGTGCCAGGAGCTGTTGAGGTTGTTCCAGTGGGATGCAGCACACAGGAGGTTTTATAGATGTGTGTTCTCTTAACATACCTGCATGCCTGAAATCCTTCAGAGAAAGCTGAAAACTCACACATAGAACTGCTGCCAAAGTCAGTCAACACACTTTAAATGTGTGTGTATATATATATCTAAATATACATTAAAATATATATATAGGTGTGTATATTTACCTTTCACTTTGTATTATATATTGCATTCATTGTGAGCTGAGTTCATCCCTGGCCTCTCTGAGCTGGGGACCCCCAGCACTCCTTGGGTATCCTCACAGCCCACCTGGGATTCAGCTGCCTAAATTCCCTTTTCTCCACAAAATGAGTAACAAGCTGCAAAATTACCACTTCCCACCAGTTTTAACTGTTAACTTCACCCATTCAACAAGTGAAGGCAGGTGTTTGTGTGGGAATAGATGAGATTTTTAAGCAAGCCGAGTAGGTGTTTCTATTATTTTAGCCCAGTGGACAGCACGGGTTGTATCGCCCTGTGCCATTGTTGCATGACATTCCTCTTGGCACAGGGTTTATTTTTAGCCAGAGACTATCACAAGTATTTTTCAGCAGGACTGTCACTGCCCCTGAACAAGGAATCATATTACTGCAAGAACTTTGCTGAAACAAAGAAGATATATTGGACAAATGGGAAATTATAAATCTAGACCAACTCAGACTTGCACTGGTAACTAATGTCACTTTTTTACAGGCAATGTGCCACCCATCCCTCGGCATGGAGCAAATGGTATTTCAGGAGATAACTCATTGCTGCTTTGCTCTTGAGTTCAAGGCTCAGGTATTGTTCTTGATTTAACTCAGATACAGGCTGTGAAAGAAGGCAAAAAGCTACTAAACTAAATTTCTTTGAGGAATTATATAAGATCATATTAATTTAGATTATTATGTTGGTTTAACTCATGCTTCATTAGGAAAACCTTTACATTTCCAATGTAATTCCGTTTTCTGCTCTGTGTCTGTTTAGGAAATAAAGGTTAACAAATGCAACCTGAGCTTTAAATTTTCTCTTAAGTATTACTTAATATTAAAATATTTCTGGTAAGGATTCATACATATGAACTGTCTCTGAAAACTGTTTATATGTGTCTGCATTGGCTCAGCAAGAACAGTTTGATAACTGTAATATTTTAAATTTAATAGATATATATACGAAACTGTGCAACTGGATGCTTAAAAATCAAGTGGTTTGGTTACTGGGACATTATGATTTGAGTTTCTGGGTTTTGTGTGTTTTGAAGTGTTTTATCAATCAGGAGCTTTTGTTGTAGATGAATGGAAGAAGAAAGTCAGTGAATCCTATGCCACAGTCACAGAGCGGTTGGAGGATGACCTGCAAATCAAGGAAAAGGAGTTGGCAGAGTTGAAGCATGTTTTTAGGTAAAATATTCTGAGAACCTGTTTATTAATTTCTTTCAAATAAGTATTTGCTATCAAACAGCATTTTCAGTTTCAGGTATTTCTTATGGACCGAGTTTCTCATGTATGGAATGCATGCTCTTTATGTCTATTTTTGGGAATACATCATCACAATGCTGGGCAGAGCCCCACAGCAGAGTACCAAAATTAGTGGCTACTGATTGTTAGTGCCAATGTTTTACAACAAACACCTATATGCTTTTGTAAATTAATCGGCTTTAGTGGGATTTCTGATTTTGCTGTGCACTTTTCAGTTTTGCTGCTGTGTTTTTTCAGACAGGAATATTGCTGAAGTTTCGCTCTTCAAATACAAATACAAAAACAAATACAAAAGCAGTGGATTCAAATTCAGAACTGGAATGGTTTTCTCAGGAGAGCATGTGCTCACAACTAGGTTCACCCAACCAAGTAACACACTGGTATGTTCATTATCTGCAAAGCTCCAGTGCAGCAAACATTCAGCAAACATTCAGCTCACGGACTGGGAATAAGTTGAGAAAATGATCAGACAAATCATTTCAGACATCAAAACCACTTGAGAAAACAGGAGATTCTAATCAGAAATAAATCATAAGCTCAAAAAAGCCAGTCTAGCAACATAAATTATTCCTTGTGCTCAGTTTCAGCTGCCACAGCTATCACAATTTGAGCCACTGGGCTTTCTCTGCAGTGTGCTGACCACTATGGCTATGCTCCAGTTAAGTAGTTGCCTTGTTTTAACTCTGTTTAGTAGTAAAAGTGATCATTTTAATAAATTGGAACCAGAGTACTCTTTATTTTAGATAAGCAAGACAAGGTAGTATATTGTGGAAGTGCTAAATATCTGAATTAGGCATATGATTAAATTAAAAACTCCTTTCAAGGTTAGGAGAGCTCTGGTAGCTCAGCTCAGTCAGGCGCAGGTAAGTCTCAGTGTCAGCCAAACTCTTCTCCTTAGCTACAGAGCCCTGCTCCTCTCACCAAAGGAGTGAGAATTAATTATCCTAGTGACACTGCAGTGGAAGAGTTTTTCTTTTTAAGTCAGGCTTGAGGAACCAGTTAGTGATTTCATTTCCAAAAGCTGCCCTCACCCATGGGGAATGAGTTCAGTCTGATCTACCGAGTATCTAAAATCCAAATATGGCCTCTTGTGTAATAGGAAAAACTCTTCTGCAGCAGCAGTGGTTGATTTTGGAAAACTTCTCGTTAATCCTTATATTTAAAAAATTCAGGACTCAGAAACTGGATGGTTGCTGGGAGATGAGTCAAGGAAGGTCATTTCCCTGATAGAAATGAAACAAGTAGCTGGTAAAGTCCCTGCTCTGAAGGTTTGGGTTATAAAAGTGGCAAAGCCTGGCAGAAGAACAAGTTGTCAGTTTCCCATTTATACTCAGGGGACACATGTGCAGGTCACAGGGAATTGTCCAGTGCCACAGAAATAAAACAACAGTTCAAATAGTGAAGAGTCAACATATCAGGAGCGTGGCACTGGCACTCGTTGGGTAAAAGGTGTCCCTACTCTGTGCCTGTGTCTCACAGCTGTTTGTGCAATAGTTCACTAAGGCCACCCTAATAATAAACTGTCAGAATTTCTTTTCCGTAAAACCCAGTGAAGTTTAAAGGAAGGAGTTAGGAGGAGGCCTGGGTAAAGCTGGGCCTTCATAACGGTCATTCAAGCTAGTTCTTATTTTCAACATAGGCCTTTTAATTGCAGCTTTTATTATATAAAACTTTCCTTGCAATATTTTGCCACAAAAACATGAGAATGTTGCCAGTTTATAAGAGTTCTAATGATTAAAGTTGAATATCATTAAGAAAACAAACTGAAACAACTGTAAACTGGGTATAAATTCAGGCTTGTGTCTCAAAAAAATTATTTTGAGATCCTCTTTTAAATGTTTCCCAAATGCAAAAAGCTGTGCTGAAGGATGAGAGCAGTAATCATCTGTAAAATCCCTTTTTCAGCTCTGATGAAGCCTTCTGCAAAGTCAATTTAAATTACCGCACTGAGAACGGGCTCTCGCTGCTCCACCTGTGCTGTGGATGTGGGGGTAGGTATCTGAAACAGGATGGTTAAACACTTTATTTGGATGATTACTGATTTTTTATGGATGATGGCTATCAGGAGGAGTGTATTTTATGGGAATTTCTCAGCTGGAAGAGCATCTCTCAGCATCACTCTGAGCTGCATTGCCAGGGGTTGAACTGAGTTACACTGAGCCCTATTACAGCTGATTCTTCAGTCCAAGGAAAGTTCTGGTTGATGATGCAGCATGTTTTGCTACAGGTGTTCACCTCAGTCAAAATTGATTCTAAATGTGTTCATTAATCCACACCCATCACAGAGCATGGCTCCACCCTTCTGGGTTCTGTGCATGGCACAAACTCAAGACCAGGGACCTCATTGTAGCAACACTTACATACTTACACCACCAATTTTTCTAGTGTAATGAAAATATCTGTATTTAATTTCACAAAGATTAAAAGAAGTATAGCTCAAATGCTTTAGTGACAAATATCAGCTTATAGGGCTTTGGCAGATAGCAGATCAGAGTACACAAGAGAAGAGGGCAAGATTTCTTCTGGGATGTTCCATAAAAACACACTAATGGTAGGATTTTCCACTCAGATCCACACAGCTGCTCTGTTATCCACAGCAGTCATTAGTTCATGCACACACTTTACTCCTGTTATACCATTTTTAGCAGAAATTGTCTGAGAGAGGCAAAGAGAATTTAACCCTGAGGTTTCAGTGCTGCAAAGTACTGCCTAGCGACATGCATAAATAATTTGCTCAATCTTGGTTAGATGTTACCATGAGGATAAACCTGATCCTGCACCACTGAAAATTGAGTGGATCTTTACTCATCATTTCAGAGTGCAAGATCCTGTCCAAGTATGATATCAGTTGGTGGGGTTGCTGCGAGGAAGTTTAGGAAAACACTTAATTAGTTATGTGAACACTTGGAGGAGGGCGAGTAGCTACTAGATTCAACACAGTCTTTGGTTACTACCTCAAGAATTCAGAAAGCAGTTGCATTTATTGAAATGATCACTGTGCATCCAAAAGGTCAGAGCAAAGCTACTTGCTGTGCTGACCCAAAATGACTGTCACTGTAAGGATGGTGTGTAGGGACAACAGTGCTCCAATTCTGGGAGGGCAAAGGAGCTCAGTGGCTGAGGAACTAGAGATTCTGGAAGCACCTCCTGGTCCATGGAGCTCTTTGAAGCATGGTCTAGACATTAAAGGAGGAGCTGTTTCTCTAGAAGTTCAACTACCCTTACCAAATCCTTGTTAAAGTGTGAACAAGCAGCCACTACATGGCCAGACCCACAGCTGTGTTGGACGACAGGGAGGTGTTTCCATCAATCTGATTTCAAGGATTCACAGGATATATTTTATGCCTTGCCTCAGGTCAACAGTCAAGCTACCTGATTCTCTGTTTTCAAACTCACACAGGAGCTTCTTACCTCATCTGCACTTTCTTTCCTGTAACTGACTTTGTTTTCCACTTTTCTCTCTAAAGGCAACAAATCACATATCAGAACCCTGATGCTGAAAGGGCTGCGCCCATCCAGGCTAACAAGAAATGGATTTACAGCTCTGCACTTGGCAGCTTATAAGGTAAATTATTTTTAATCAAACTGATGACAGGGAATCAGAACTGAGCAGCTGATTTGTCTGAACTGTCTGAGATCTGTAGTTGTTACTTCTGGTGAAATATAAATTTTATATTTATAGTGCATAGGAAAATACCCTATAAAGAGCCCGTGCACAGGAATTAGTATGGCCTTTTGCAATGTCATCCATGGGGTGGGATACTGCTTTGGAATTACTGATTCAGTCATGCAATGCAACTCAGGGTAGAGGAGTTGTCCAATGCCACCATAAAATCAGGATCAAGGTGTTTTTAAGACATAGGTTAGTATAGCAAGAGAGATGTCTGGTGGTGGGACAAACCTTCTCCCCTCTCCATGCTCCCCGAGCCCCTGGGCCATGGCCAGTCCCTCTCCATCAAGGCCAGCAGTGTCACAGCTGGGGAGGCCAAGGCTGGTCCTGCTCAATTCAACTGTGAGAGCTGTGTGCCAGAAATGATGTGGGTTAAATCTGTGGCATTTAGGACAATGTGGAGCTGCTCACAGCGCTGTTGCACGGCGGGGCTGACATCCAGCAGGTCGGGTACGGAGCGCTCACGGCCCTGCACGTTGCCACCATCGCCGGCCACCACAAGGTACGTCTCTCTTTGCTGTACAGCACTTATATAGGTGAGTGCTAATATTATCAGGTCATTCTATTTTACACTGATGCCTTTCAAAACAAAACTCAGAACTGTTTAAGTACAGACGGATTTTGTTTAACATTTTCCTGCACTTTGGGAAAACAACATCTGTGTATATTGTTGCACTGAACAAACATGCACAAAGAACACAGATCTGTTTGTACATCTCTTACCTTTCCATAAATGTCTTTAAAGTCTTGGGACTAGATAGTGTTGTTTTCTAAATATCAGAAGTGTTAACCAAGAAATGTGTGGTGAAACACTCACTCATACATGTCAGGGATTCAGAACTTGGATATGGAGAGAGTCTTCCAAATACTGTCTTTCCGACTGTGAAAGAATCAGAGTAAAAGAGTTTACTCCCTCTTCCCTCTACTTCTTAGCTCTGTGATTGTCCCTTCAGAAAGGGACTGAGGTTCTTGTTTTAGATCTATTTTATACTTCAAATTAGTGCAGAGAAAGCTGTTGCCAGGGTGAGTATGGCATGAATCTTAGATATCCATATTGATAAGTCTTCTATGGGTTGGAAACTTCTCACTATGGGGAGCAGAGAAAGGAAGAGAGGATGAGGTTCCTGAGGTGCCTGTAATCAGGCCCTTCCCTTTCTAGACATGCTGTCAGTCATGTATCTGTTCTCTTATCATTTACCACCTCAGTTCAGGCATTTCACACACCCTCTCATTTCTGTCACCCTGGCAACAGCTCCCTCAGCATAAAATATTTATTTTTTTTTAATAAATACTGAGAATTTATTTTTAAATAAGTACTGGAGCTGAGGATACTGGTGAATTTGGCTTAACTTTGCAACCTTCACAGCAGTTCCAAAATTATTTAAATCCAGTAGGTGTTTTTGCGCTTCCCAGCTCACAGGGGTGAGCACAGTCACGGTCAGTGATGGCCCTGGTTACCCAGAAGTCTGTGTGTCTGAGGAAGGTCAAGCTGAAGGAAAGACGGGACAATTTATGGGTGGTCATGGCAAGGAACTCCATTAAAAAGCCAATAACTTTCAGTGCTCCAGTCAGCAGCTCCGACATGGATCGGACAGATCAATCCGTAGCATCAGTTCAGCTGGTGCATGAGGGAATGTGCTGGCCAGGCAGGCTTAGCACTTGTGTTGGGAAGGTCAGCTCCCCAGGCACAGGAAGGAAGCTAATGGCATGTCTGCCAACCAGCGAGGCTGGGGAGTGAGTAGAACGGTGGGGTTGTACTATAGCATCACACCCTGAGCTCATGGATATCCCGCCATTCCCTTCCAGCGCACACAGCTCTTATTGGCCTAACGCACACCCTTCCTTGTGTGTCCCCTTACTAAAACACAGGTGAGGAACCTCCATGTCTACCACATCAAAGGCTGGACTTGATGATCTTGGAGGTCTTTTCAACCTTTATGATTCTTTGATTCTAATAGTTCTGTGCAGAATGATGGTGGAGCTGTTAACTCTGGGATGGTCTTGTTCACAAGTATTTACTGTCTCCTCTGTGGGCAGTACAAAGCGCTCTTCTCTGATCCAGGGTTTCAAGTAATTTTTAAAATGTTTGGGCCTTTTCCTGCAAATGCCAAAAGCAAGTCTGCTATTGATCCCATGTCCTGAGTTCCTGCTGAGGCTATGGACAAATAACGGTACTCAAAACCTGACAAGGATAAGCTCATTAACTTCATAAGAAATATAGTATGAGTGGTTTTCAAAGGTCCCTTATTTCTTCCTTGGGAATGATCAGGTCTGTATCAGAAGCATCTCCATAAATGGAGTGGGACTCCGTATAACTCATTTTATTCATCTGCTGCTCTGGGGACCGAGGATTTATGGTCCAAGTGCAAGCTCTTGCTTTCCTTCTTTATATAGCTGTGAAATTTTCAGTCAGCTTAGAAGCTCATCTGCTAGATTAAGTAGCTTGTTTTGTTCACAATTTCATTAATATTCATGGTAATATGGAATAACTTTTTCAACCCCCCTAATAACTAGAATAAGTTTAAGAAAGAGGAAATCAATTTTTGGTTGTCTTCCTAATTCAAATAAGGTAAGTAATTATTTATACCATTAAATAAATAGCAGAGGTATACGCCCCAATCCATACAACATAAATTTTTACTACAGGAGATGGCTGACTTATATTTAGGACAAAGACAGAGAAAACTGAGTGAAAAACTTTTTTTCCCACTTCCATGAAGAGTCAGTCTATAGGTTCTGCTCCATCACCAGACCTGAAACCACTGAAGTGATCAGTTCTCTGGGATGAGGCAATCAGTGTCACTGGGATGCTGCATCTCAGTGTGGTGTATTGAATATTTCATGTTCTTTATGATTTAGGACTGTATTTTACTTCATCAAAAATAAGTTGTCTGTTGATTTTACCTGTTAATGAAAATTGCAGTTCTTAATGGGAAGAATTAAAAATAATTGAAAAATTAGAAAATAAGTGGGTGACCATATTAGAAACATCAGCAAATAAGTTCCATAAATCTCTCATTAAGTCTGTTATTTTGAAAATATTAAATATTTCAAACCCAGTGAGATCATTGCTAAATAAATAATGCATGCGCCTCATCCACATTTATGTGTTGTCCAATGTTAGCACCTTGGAAAGCCAGAGCCAATGCCTCTTTCATGTTGTAAATTAAAGTTGTCACTCTGAGACTGCAAGACCTGTGGATGCAGGATCTGAACGGAGGGTCACAGGCAGTGCCACTCAATTTCTGTATCTGTACACCTGAGGACCTGGGCTGTGAGCGTGTGTGTGTGCCAAGGACCTGCTGGGAAAAGAGTGAATCCCTTCTCAGGGTTTCTGTAGATATTTCAGTGTACGGCTGTACAGAGGCTGGCACTGTGCAAAGGCCTTAATTGCTGAAATTGTCTTCTAAAAAGTCAGTCATCACTGTCCTTGTTTTCTTAGAGGAGTTCTTATCCCTTGCCCTTGTCCAAAACACAGAGTCCTTATATCTGTCTCATGTTTTAATTTGTTGACTCCTTCTAACCTTCAGAGTGGCTTAATTAATTGTCTTTGAAGTGACCATCGTTGACTTGAATGTTCAAAAAGCCTCTGAATAAACTTTTCATAAGAGAACTTTAAGAAAAATTGCAAAGTAAAAGTCGAAGTATCTTTTGAATTAAAGATTAGTTGTGCAAGCAAAAGGGGAGCGCTTGTTCCCCTGGTTCTTTGGCCTCTGCCACAGTGAATCCAACCAGGACACTGCCAGCTGCCTTCATCCAGCTTCTTTCTATGCAGCTTGGAAATGTCCCCTGAGTTAGGACTGTCTCCTGAGGAGAAATTTTTTTTTTTTTTTTTTTTTTACATCAGAAATTTTCCCCTTAGTTTCTGAAGTATTTCTATCCTTGCACATCCCCCCAGCATCCCTCCCGCCTGTGATGCCTATGACAGCTTTCAGTGCTTTCTAAGACTCCTTTTTTCTTTCCTAGAAAGATATCTTGTCTGAGAGACTATCAAGCCTGTCTCTGTACCCCTCTCATCATTTACACTTGAGTGGAGTTTGCTTAATGCAGCACACAAAATTCCATTTCTCAGGAGATCACAAAGCAGCAAGCACGGCTGCCATTGCTACAGCCTGGAAAATGTGTCAAAATTCATCTGGTTTTATGTTCATCATCAGAGGTGGATTCACATCGCTCAACACAGTTTTTTTCATCTTGAAGATCCACTTTTAAGCTTGTAGAGGAATCTAAATTTTGAATTCCAAAGAGAATAAGGAGAACTGGAGTTGTGGTCACATCCCTATGTGTGTTACAGCCTCGCAGATCATGGCTACATTAAAACCAAACTCATCCAAAGAAGTTTCAGCCATATTCATGTAAAAGCTACAGGTCCAAACATCTCTTTTCAGAGTCAACAGCTACAACTTCAGTTTTAGAGTGTTAGTTTGCTGGAAAATGTCTAAAATTAATCACTTGAAAGCCACTAAACCATTAAATTCCAGGCTAACTGGGTCTGTGTTCCCACCTCTGGCCCTCCAAGCTACCAGGATATTGAAAATTGACTGCCCATGGGAAGCCCAGTAGGGGAAGTCAGTTGTGTTAACCGACTGCTCGTGTTAACCAAAGAACTGAGTGTGTTCTTTATTTACTGCCTGAACACATTCACACCCATCCGGTGAGTGCCTGTGCTGAGCTGTCCTTCAGCTGAGAGAAGGGCCAACAGCTTCTCCAAAGATCTCGGGAGATCTTTCATAGGGCTTTTATTATGCAGTCACACTCTTCTTTGAGATCCACAGAAAAAGGAGTTACAGCAAAAGGATGTCAATGCACGTAAGATTTAGCAAGGGAAATTCTGACTGTATATAAAAGGGGCAAGGGGATCACAATGAGAGTGGTGCAACACTGAGAGCATTCCAGAGAGGATGCAGAACCTCCATCCTTGGGAATAGTCTGACCTGGCCTTGCAGTGCTGCCTCCAGGGAAGGTTACAGCTGATGCCATAGAGAGATGGTTAAAACTAATGGGAAATGGACATACTTAAATATGTTGGGGAACAGACCTTACGCGGAAAATGTATTCAGGCAGAAAATGTATTCACATGGAAAAAATTATTTTGATTTAAATTGTGTAAAGGAACAATCCCTGTACACTGATGTTGCTTGGAAACAGTACTTGGGAATGACATGGATTGAAATGACTGGCCCTGTTGTTGCACGTGTGACATGACTTGGGGGTTTCAGAGAGAGAGAGCAGGTGGCAGACTTGTGCATCACCACAGCTGGCATTGGTGGGCATCCTCAGGGGGGGTCTCTGTGGACAGGTGCAGGTACACACAACATGACACAGGAGTTGGCCGCTTCCCCAGCCTTGTCAGTCCTTCCCACCAGGGCAGAGGTGGATCCCAGTTCCTCACTGTACTGTGAGTGACTCGTGGTCTGGTATTTTTCACAATCATTGGACTCAAAAATTAGCATTCTTCAAAATGATATGTAGAACTTCTGAAATAATCCCTGGCACAAGCCCTTCGTGTGCCCAAAGACCCCCTCATGCTTCATTAAAACGAGCAGTCCTCAGGCTCTGGTGAAGAACCCAAAATGGTTTCACTCAGGCTTCTACTTTGGCAGCTATGCAGCAAGGCAATGCTTGAGAGTTCATAGATGTCCAGGAAAACATGGGCCTCCTGAAGGACCAGAAAGGGAGAAATTTGAAAGAAAACACTTAGGGTTATTTACTGAAGCCAAAGAGCTATTATTTTCTAAAATACTGAGAAATCTTTACATGCTTAGGGAATTATGTTTGAGGATTTACCTTCACACATTTAAATTTAAAAGGGTATTTCATTTTGTGGGACATTTTCACATCTAAAAACTCTGATGTGTTTAGGGCTCTTTGTTCATAATGGTTAAAAGAAAATTAAACTTTGAAAATCCAGACAGTCATTTCTGTGTCTCTTACTTCATAAATCAGTATTTTTACTGGCACACCGATTTTCAGGCTTATTTATAAAGCGTCAGTGACATTCAGTGTTCAGGTAAAGTACTGTAAGTTGATCGCTTTTACATGCAGTATGCAGCTCTGCACCTTTATATATGCTTGTTTGGGGCTTTTTGACTTTTTTTAAACTGGTGACATGAGGTTTCAAAGTCCTGTTTTACCAGCTGACCACACATATGGGTGTGTGTATATATATATAGTATATCGTGGTTCTAATTGGAATCTTCTGTTGGTCTCCTTGCAGGCTGTGGATATTCTCCTGCAGCACGGGGCCTATGTGAACGTGCAGGATGCTGTGTTCTTCACCCCCCTGCACATTGCTGCTTATTATGGCCATGAGCAGGTAACTGAGGGGGGATTCGGATGCCTGAGCAGGGGATCACCAAGGCATCCATAGGTTTAGTGTCAGATGTTTCTACTTTACATTCCAGAGGGTCCTACCACACAAAGGCCTCATACACTGAAGTTGCACTCTGCATAACTACACATCTCTGGTTGCCCTACAAGTCTGAATATCAACAAGAAATTTCTACACCTCCATCCTCTGTACTGGACCCCAGCAAAAACTGGTGTTTTGCCCCTGAGACCTCTTGAAACAAAGGGTTCTCTAGCAAGCTTTGATGGGTAGTCTTGGGCCCAGAGGCACTTTTCATTCACTTTTCATTCACTTTTCATTCACTTTTCATTCACTTCTCATTCACTGTTCATTCACCCCATGTATCAGAGATTGCTTAAGGAATGTGAGTGTGCTTTCTGAACCTCTCCAAGGAAGTGAATATCACTTCCCTGAAATAACTAAATGGTAATTCTATCAGTTTTCCTTGAAACTCACAAACTGTTCAATTAGTGGCAAAAAAATGATCATTCAGAGAGCATGATTTTTCCTGAGGTGCTGTGCACACAATCAGTGCAGCTGAGTTTGCTCCATTCACACAGATGACAAACTTACTGAAACACAGCCTAGAGTTCTGACCAAAGCTGGCATTGCCACCCTCAGCTCTCTTTCTTCTGTATGTTTGGGCAGTACAATAGACACAGGGCTGATCCATGACCCAGAACAGCTTTTTCATGTGATCTGTGGTAATGGATCTGTTTATCTTATGCAAGTCATTCCCTGTGCCTTGCTTTGGCTAAAAGCCTTGTGTTCTGAGGTGTTCTAAAGTTTCAAAGAATGACCTCTAGGCTGAATCTTTTCCATTCCAGTGAGGTGTTACTTTGAGTGCCTTGAGGAAAAGCTTTAGGAAGCAGAGGGTTCAAATGCACGCTGATTGGAACGCTCTGCTCTGCGGTGGGTGAGACGGGGTGTGAGTGAGCCAGGGGCTTGTCCCCAAGGTGCTGCTTTCATATCTGTGCACCTCATGATGCAGAAGAAACTCCTCCTGTATGTGCTGCGATTAGTTTGCTCATTTTCCACAAGCCACTGCAGAACAGTCACAGTCCTGGGAGATGATCCTGAAAGCTTAAGGGACTCTGGGATAAGAGACTGATCAGGCAGGAGCCATGGCTCTAACCTTTGGGGACTTTGAGGGCATTTCCTTTATTATGCTGACTAGTCATTCAAACAAACATGTCCATTCACCATAGAGAACATTTTAGAGAATGAATGAGCGCTTGCTTTTGAGAATTTTAATATTTTTATAGATGTGTAACTTAAAAATTAATTTTCTATTGAATTTCCTCTCCTTGTTTTAACTTTACAGAGATGCCCACATGCAGTATTACCCAATGCAATACTGTATCTAATTTTCTCAAAGTTTTATTTTCATGTGATATTTTAAGTAACCTTAATCAAATATTTAGGTAACCCACCTCTTACTAAAGTTCGGAGCTGATGTGAATGCAAGTGGTGAAGTTGGGGACAGACCTCTCCATCTGGCTGCTGCCAAAGGCTTTCTCAACATCACAAAGCTCTTGATGGAAGAGGGAAGTAAAGCTGATGGTAAGAAAAGATATTTAAAAATCAGCTCTAACATTGTGTTTTATAGACAGAGTCTTTGTTTCCTAACACATACTCTATGTGTGTGTGTATCATCTTTGGGCAACTGAAACAAAAAAACAATAGTTAAGAGTTTTTCTCATTTAATTTTGCTTGTTTTTCATTTCACATGTACTCTGTTTCTGGTAATAAGTTAGAGGTGAAAAACAGGATCAGGAAAAAAAATTAAGATTAATATACAGAGATGGCTCACTCTTGAGACAATCGTCAAGCAGGGAACACGTGGCAGTGCAGTGGGGATCTGCAGTCGAAGTGACTTCAGTGCATAGGGAACTAGTGAATAAAGTACAGGTGAAGGGTTTTAAGTCAAAATCATGCAGCAAGTAATTTAAAATAATTCATATGGAAGTTGAAATCCCACAGAAAATGGGATCTTTTTATGCTGCACAAATTTCATACTCTTCGCTGTGGGATATTTGCTGTCAGAGAAAGTGCCTGTGGGGAGATGTGATGGGCTGGACAGATACAAAAGTCTTTCAGCATACTTTGGGTGTTCTGTGAGTCAGGAGTCTGCATATTCTTTGTCCAGGTGGCCTCACAGTGATGTCAGTCAGGTTGTGACACTACATGTCATTGCTGTATATTTTCCTGTGTTGCAATTTGAAATATTTTCACTTGTGACTGATGTCAGTGTGCAGCTGGTACCCTCTGCTTTTGCTATTTCAGTAGCATTGAAGGCACAAAATGTGCCACACTTCAGTCTTACTCTTCCACTACTCTGACACCTGTGTCACACACAGTGGTGACACATCCTACAAAGGCATATAAATGTTAAAATTTAGAGGTTGTACTTTATGCATATTATGATTATTACTGCAGAATTTCTGATCTGTACCTGAAGGGAGCCTACAAAAAGGATGGAGAGAGACTCTTTACAAGGGCCTGGAGTGATAGAACAAGGAGGAATGGCTTCAACCTGACAGAGAGTAGGTTTAGATTGGATATTAGGAAAAAATATCCTGTAATATGTGATGATGGTGAAGATGGTGAGGCCCTGGCACAGGTTGCCCAGAGAAGCTGTGGATGCCCCATCCCTAGAAGTATTCAAGGCCAGGATGGATGAAGCTCTGAGCAGCCTGGTTGAATGGAATGTGTCCTTGCCCATGGCGTGGCATTGGAACTGGATGATCTTTATGGTCCTTTCCAACCCAGGCCATTCTGTGATTCTATGAAATACTGACCAATATTAAAAATATTTGGAAATTATTTTCTTATCCTCAGAGTAAGAGGCAGAAACGGTTTTTGGAAAGGAACATTACATTACTTGGATAAGTACTGCTCTATAGTACATCAGTTTACCGTGTTTTCTGTGCGTCCTGCCTGCAGTCACACATCCTCCTCATGCAGTGAAAAAGCATGGAGGGAAGCAGCACAGTCAGGTCTGTACAAGCTGTTGTCAGTAACAAGCTCAGAGTGTTGCAGCCTCGATGTGTGTGCACTGAGCTGATAAAATTACAAAAAAGAGGGGAAAGAAAAGACGTTCGCTCACCGTAACAAGGCAGTGGGAGGTTTGCTCTCTGTTAGAGAGTTTATTCCAAAAGAAAAGAATCTGGGGCACCATTTCAGGTCCTTTTCTTTAAAATCAGAATCTTCAGCCCAGTAAAAAGAAAAGGGAGACTGGAAGCGGGAAGTCTTTTGCTCTCAAAGCAGCACACCTTGAAACGTGCTATAAATGCAGCAGCGGAGGAACAAGTCTTCAATGCTCAGGAATGAAAGGAACTGGGGAAAGAACCTGAATAAATTTGGCAGTGTTCAGTGCAGACCAGTAATTGGGGTCACAAACCTGAACTATTTCTTTTAACATAACCTGACTCGTTAGTCAGCTCCAAAATTACGGTGACTGAAGACAAGCATTGACCACCAAATCAGGCTGAAAAGGTCAGAATGCTGCTGAAATAAAGAATATTTGCAGCCTAACAATGGCCAAAGTTCTTCTTCAAAACAAGCACAAATTAGGAGAAAAAAATATAAAAGAAAAGTGCTGCCTATGTGTATCATGGCTAATTTCCATGTTTTACATGTGGCCCATCTATAAACCCAATGTTACAAGTGCTGCCAGTTCTCCTTGTGCCAATCCCATCATTTGTTTTGGCATAAACAAAGGAAGGACTAAGAAACTCTGTATTTTCAGAAATCCCATAAGCTCTTTCAAGCACATTTCTTGCACTGTCTTTTTTTCATCCTTTCACTTACGGTCATGGTTTCACCTCTTACTACCAATGTCATGTCTCAGTGCTAAGAATAATTTCTACAGAATTCCTTTTTTTTTCACAGTCAAGAACTTAGCAGTTGCTCAATTTTACTGTTTACTTGTAAAGCAACCTCAGTTTTCAGTCCCTGACTGCCACGACAGTTATACATATATACTCAATTTAATATAAATGTGCTTTAAAAATCTCAATTTGAAGAACTCTCCTATACTCTTCTTTAGTAATTTCTGAATCAATATGGTGTACTTTTTCTCCATAATACTCTTCAAAGGTGTTTTTGATCAATTATCTTTTGTTTTGAATGTAAACTTCTCCTTCTTTTAAAGACAATATTCCAGTGTACTTAGTGTGCTTCATTTAGAAATCAAAAAACAATCAATTGAAACAAAACATGTTATAATTACAGATCCTTCTAGAGCCAAAGGAAATGGTTTTGCAGGCATTTGACATCAGTTCCAACTGGATATATAGAGGAGATTTCCTTCCTTGCTCCACCTTGCACCTTGTTGTATTGTAGACCGAGGCCCCTGATGTCCTTCAGGACATTCTGTGGGGACATACCAGAATGCCTGGTACCACATCATAATAAAAAATAAAGGGCAACATGTCATATGAATCTATAAAGTGAAGAATTATTTTAGAATGGAGAAGAAAAAGAGTTTGCTTTTCCTTACTTCTTATATACAGGACTGTTAGGAAGGTTAGCAGGAGCAGTTAATGATGTTTGTGAGCCACAAGATTAATTAAAGTTACAGGAAGTACTTTTTCTTTTTTTTTTGGCCTGAAACAGAATCCAGCATTTCAAAGGGCTGTATGTTTCTGTGAGCATTCATCATTATTACAGAAAGGTTTTAAAACAGGGATTTATTTTAATTTTTGTTGCTCTTTATGCTCAGAGAAAATCAAAGAGAAGACAAACTCTCAGAATGTGGTTGGTTTCATCTCTGTCCTGAGGAGGCTTAGCTGCAGGAAAGATATTCCTGAGGGATGTTTGTCACAGTTGTGTGTAAAAGCCTGGGAATACAGGTTTGGACACCTCTAAAGGACAGATATTCCCATGTAGTCTCTTCATTTCTTGTAAACTGCCTAAAAGACCTGGTGCCTTTGGTGCAAAGGCTGAACTGGGAGCTAAATGTCACACAAAGTAGACTGGGTTTGTCATTTCTATCAGTTACAAAATCAACCTGTTATGGTGGTTCTGTCTTTAGACACAGGAAGAAATACACTGAGAATCACAGAAATACGTGCTGTCTTTCAAACTGACTAAAGACCTTTTTTGCATAATGAAAACAGTATTTGTAGGTGTCTGTACCAATGGAGAACTCTGCCTAGAGCCTTGTCCAGTCTCTTCTTCACTCCCTACACGACAGATGAAGGAAGAGCCATGTAAGGTACCTCCATACCCATTTCTGGTGCTAGAATGCAATTGCTCACCCCATAAACAATCAGAAGGCTCCCTGGCATGGACGTAGTCCAGGAGAGCTGGAAGTCTCGCCAAGTTCCCACCTGCAGATCAAGGATCCTCCAGGGACACTCCACACAAGCACAGAATAGGTCACTACTACTGGCAGATGCCAGTGGTTCTGTGCTGCCTGGAGTCATGTTGATGTTGTTACTTCCTTTTGCTTTACAATTTCTTTTTTTAAGGGTCATTTATAACTCGTGATTTATTCATGGAAAACTTCATCAAAACATTCAAGAAATCTGCTGCTGGAAGAAAGCAATTATGCCTCAAGGCCAGAAGATTGCCTTGACACTGCACTGCAGATGGCACAGAGCAGTATGGGTTTGATATATGAAAGATCACAGAAATTTCAATTTTAAACAAATAGGTCCATAAATATTTTAGCAGGGGCTTTCAAAATGTATACGGGCAACACATAAAGCTTTACTAAATATACTGTGTTAAGTATAAAATCCTTTCTGTGGTCTCTTTCTGTGTCAACTGGCAGTGAATGCTCAGGACAACGAAGATCATGTTCCTCTGCACTTCTGCTCTCGATTTGGGCACCATGAAATTGTGAAGTTTTTACTGCAGAGCAGCTTCGAAGTGCAGCCCCACGTGGTGAATATCTATGGAGACACACCCTTACACCTGTGAGTGCCCTGGAGCAGCTGTTGGGCAGGTTTGGGGCTCGTAGGAAGGCTGGTGTTGCTAACAACTCTGTACTGGCTTCCTCTTCAGTGCCTGTTACAATGGGAAGTTTGAAGTTGTCAAGGAAATAATTCAGCTCTCAGGAACAGAAAGTCTCACTAAAGAAAATATATTCAGTGAAACAGCTTTTCACAGGTGAGGTGTTCAAATGCCATTGTCAATAGAGCTCCACTAACACACACCTGCAACACAGCATCCAAAATTACCAATGTCTCACCAGCTGCCAGGTGAGGGACAGAGCAAGCAGAGAGCTCGATGGGGAGGGTGAGTTTCCATCATGAGATAAAGGAGAGGGCATGAAGCAAGAGGCAGAACCAGAATGAGGAGAAAACAACTGAGGGCAAGGAAGGTAGGAAAGGCACCAGGTTCACCAACACCTGGATGGACAGTGGTCCCTCTCCTTGTCAAGTCTGGTAACTGAGCCCAGCCCCTGTTCCACCTGTGTGCCTGCTGGAGCCAAGTACTCTGAATGAGAAACCAGGTGGCAGAGCATGGTTTGGTCAGGATGATGGAAGTTTGTAAAGGGCTATTTAAGAGGCACTTTGTAACACAGACTGTTTGCACAACTGTGCAAAACAATTTATTCAGCAATAATTAGAATGTTTCTGAAACAATAAAAAGGAACTTGCTTTGGTGGATTAATAGTGCATTTGCACATTTCTAAAGATCCTTTATTACTGCATTTTTATCTCTCTGTTATTGTTTGTAAATTTTTGGCTACCCAAAGCACTTCTTTTACAGGCTATAGCATTCACCACTCCCTTTACTTCTGCAGCGCCTGCACCTTTGGGAAGAACATAGAACTTGTCAAGTTTCTTCTTGACCAGAATGTTGTAAGCATCAACCACCAGGGAAGAGATGGGCACACAGGTAACATCACCGTCCTGATTGTGTATGAGGGCATATACCAGCACTAAAGTATCAGGAAGCCATACACTGTCAGGATTTCCAGGGTAATTCCAAGGTAACTGGATGACCAGCATCCAAGCACCTTTCAGACAGAGCACAACTTTTTTAAAAATATTTTTACAGGCAGGCATAAAAGTGATAAGACTTCAGTGAGGATGTGTTGGGCTTGTTAGCATTAGTAACAAAACCTGGTCTGAACTGTTCATCCCCTAGTGAGGCTTCTAAGTAGTGTTAGGAATTACTCTGCAAGAAGCTAGGCTTCTGGGATATAGTGTCTGAAGGGCTGCACACCTCCCTGTCCCTACTACAAAGAGCTGCCTTTGTTTCTATTTGCTTTTCCCATGTGCAGAGTCATTAAATGTGGTTTGCAGGTGGCAGAGGAAATGCTGACACATCGTGCAGAGGCAATAGGTTGGTTCTTGTAGCCTTAATGTTTAATTTCTACCTCTTGTCTCAGGTATTTTTTGACAATATATTCCTTTATTGAGGAAATCAGTCTGTACTTTACAGTTATTGCTGCAGTCATATTGCCACGTTGTGAGAGTTGTGCTCCCCACACTTCTCTGGTGTTCCAGGATTGCACTGCGCTTGCTACCATGGCCACATTCGCCTTGTGCAGTTCCTGCTGGATAACGGAGCTGATATGAATCTGGTAGCTTGTGATCCCAGCAGGTCCAGTGGAGAAAAGGATGAGCAGACCTGTTTGATGTGGGCTTACGAGAAAGGTATTTCAGTTTTCTAGTTTCTGCTACAAAATCCGTAGGAGCCGTGCAGCAAGGAGAGGGCAGCATGGGAAGGAGATAACCCTGCAGAATAACCCTTCAGTGCCTGCAGACAGAGTTCTCACCACCTGCTCTCCAGGTGCTGCCACCTTATAAACCTCAGCCCTTCGATTTTTCTCAGATCTCTGTTAAATGTCAGCTTAATCTAGCACAAACTTCAGGAGAGATGTGTTTCTGTGCTGCTAAAACAGTTGTTTGCAGCAATAAGTGACAAATTTGTCCAGGTTAGGATTCCAAAACAAATTTTTCAAGCACTGGTTTGCCTTGTCAGGGCTGCTGAAGACTAATGTCAGCTTCCATTGCAGGATTTCTGCAGCAGGTTTTTCCTTCGCCGTATCTCACATTTTAGGAGTGGACTCATGAAAATAACATGCTTGTTTTTATTGGCAGGAATTTCCCACATTTCTGCAGTTAAGAATCACAGTAGGTTTCAGATTAGCACCACCATGTCTTTGTTTGCATATTTTATAGGCATGCTGTACATTTTTTTTTTTTGTAAAATCCCTTGCTTTTGTATAAATCAATTAAAAACAAACAAACAAACAAACAAAGAAAGAAAAGAATATTGAGTTACCTGCAAGTCCTTTTATTTCCTCTTTCTTTCCTAGGTCATGATGCCATTGTGACCCTCTTGAAGCATTACAAGAGACCCCAGGATGAATCCCCCTGCAATGAATACTCCCAGCCTGGAGGAGGTATGGGCTGAGCAATCACTTTATTCTCTAACCAAAGGCCTGCACCAGAGAATTATGAAGTCTCTGGAAATAATCCACCCATGTCAGATAGCTTTGAGTCAGTTCTGTGTGGCACAAATGAAATCAGTGTTATGGAACTCTCCATTTTCCGGGTACCTTTATGTCAAAAGTCTTCTGTTCTGTAAATTGGAGTTGTCAGCTCATGTTACTCCTGAAAACAGGAGCCCAAAGCTGTGAGCTGAAGATCAGTCCCTGTCAACCATTGCTCACACCTTTCCTCATCCTGAATGCCTTGTGTAGCTGTTCTCTTTGTGTTGTTTAGTCCTGACGTTTCTTTGATTGTTGACTTTTTTTTTTCTGTACTCAGACCCCCTCATACTTTTTAATATCTTTGGATATCTAATTCGCCCTTGGGAAGAATTAATTACCCTTTTTGCTACAAAAAGACTCATTTGCATTGGTGACTAAATGACAAAAGCCAGGAAGAGGAATTAAACAAAACCTGTGACCATGTGTTGGAGCACTGCCTCAGAGAAGATGAGAGGGGGGCTTATCTGGGTCATGTAGTGCTCCAGGTATGGAAACAAGAGGAACCTACAGCCAGCAGCAGCATCAACCTGCTCCCTGCATCGTTTGGCCTGTTCCAGGTTTAGGTGTAGTATAGCTGAAGTGTATGTAAATCTTTAGTGCACTAAGGTTATGTGTGCATTGGAAATTATTTTGGCAAGCAATAAGCACACCCAGGGAGATTTTCTAATGCTGATTATTAAAAGGACAACAACAAAGCAATACAACACCTGGATCTGCTGTGCCCCTCACTGTGGAGAAAATTAACTGTATCTCAGCCCAAACCATCTCAATCAGATGTGTTTGTGTGTTTATGTGAATTCTCACCCTTTATTATTCATTCTTTCAGCCATCATTGCCTCATTAACTTATCAGCACAGACACTTATGTTGTTGTTGAGTTCCATAAATTTCACTCTGTTCTTTATTTCAGATGGTTCCTACGTGTCAGTGCCATCTCCTCTGGGGAAGATTAAAAGCATGACAAAAGGTATTGGCAATGGCGAGGGAAAACTTGAACTTTTGTGGTCTTTTTACCCACCATGTTTGCGAGCCTGAACATCCTGCACAAGATTCATTATTCCTGAAATGTTCATTGTTCATTGGTCCATTTCCCTGGGATAATTTTATGAAGTAGTATACTTAGCTTTGTTGCTCAGAATAATGACAACTCCTGTGTTTATGTTATTTTCATTTATTTTAAAGAATGTATTTTTAATTCTTTGAGAAAAAGCTGTGATGTGAATTAGCACTAATGAAATACCCACTAATCCATGAATGCTAAAAAATACCATATTGAATCCCACCATAAAAATCCTGGATTATCTTTACAAGAAAAATTCTGCTCAAAAATATCTCATTTTACTCTGAAACAAACACAGATAAAATAGTCAGATAAATACTTGTAATTTTAAATATTTCCTGCTTTTTTTTTTTTTTTTTGTGGTGCTTTCAATTTTCCTCTTTAAATGTTCGCTCTGGATATATTCAAATCCTTACATCCTGTACACAGCACCATCAAAATGTTCCATTTAGAAATATTATGATAAACTTTAGAGTAATAAACCAAAAAAGTCAACAAAATAGAGACATTTGACAACTAAGTTTAGTTGCAAAATTTAGATTCCTCATATCACTAGGAGTCAGCTCTGGAATAGCATTCCCCAGCAATAAGCACCAGATGCACATTAAAAAAGAAACTGATTCTCCATGTGAGGAATTCTGTGCAACCATCCCATGGCACAGGCAGAGTTTGGGGATGAGGGAAAGTGCACATGGCTGATGTGGTGCTAAAGCCAGGAATGCCAAGGCAGCCGTGGCATTGCAAGTATTTATCTGTCACTGGGGTTTGCTGTGTGAAAGAAAGAGAACAGGACTAGCAGAAAATCATCTTTGTCAGTGCGAGGGTTCTGAAGTTCAGTGCTTTTATGTTCTGTCCTCCCCTGACCCATGTTTTATAAACAGGATGACTGTTTCTGTTGCAGAGAAGGCTGACGTTCTCCTCCTCCGTGCTGGTTTGCCGTCGCACTTCCACCTTCAGCTCTCCGAGATAGAGTTCCATGAGATTATCGGCTCAGGTACCAGAAAAGAAAGTGAAAAGAATCCTCCTGAAATGTGTGATGTTCACAACAAACATCTCTGTTCTTATTTATTTTTTATCATTTTAGGTTCTTTTGGAAAAGTCTACAAGGGACGATGCAGAAATAAAATTGTAGCAATCAAACGGTACGCTTGTCAGGCTTTTCTGTCCTGTTTGGTCAATGGACTAGTTTGAAGTATTAAAAAGCCCATATTTTATAGTATTTTGTAATATTTTTGCCTTTCTATTTTCTCTCCTTTCAATCCTAAGCTATCGAGCCAACACCTACTGCTCCAAGTCTGACGTGGACATGTTCTGCCGGGAGGTTTCCATTCTCTGCCGACTGAACCATCCGTGTGTCATCCAGTTTGTGGGAGCATGCCTGGATGACCCCAGCCAGTTTGCCATCGTCACCCAGTACATCTCTGGGGGATCGCTCTTTTCCCTGCTCCATGAGCAGAAGAGGTATTCCCCTCGTCCTCCACTCAGGCTTCCTGCATAGAATTTGGAAGAGTAGGGAATCCAGGCTGATGTAAATATGCATTTCAGTGTAAGACAACAGAGAATGGAAAAACTAGAAAATGTTGAGCTTTGGTTCGGTTAATTTGGTGTACGAGGGAAACTGATGAGTAACCACAAAATTGTTATTGTCATTATTTTACAATATATAGATTTACATTACATAGATTATATAACTTTATTTTGTATGTAAAACAATTTTTAAGGTTGCATGATTTACATTTAAGAATAAGTTACAGACAATTTTTGACTGTTTATTAACTTTGAGTAATTTTTTTTTCCAAAATACAGAACTCTTGATCTGCAGTCTAAATTAATCATTGCTGTAGATGTGGCCAAAGGCATGGAGTACCTCCACAATCTCACACAGCCCATCATACATCGGGATTTAAACAGGTCAGTTTCTGTCTTTAACCTAAATATTCAGAGAACATGAAGGCTCAAAGACACAGAGACCTCCACAGACTGCTGTAACCAATGTCTTGTCTCATTAGCACTAAACTGAAAATAATCTGAGATTATTATGAGGTTTTACACAAAGCTCTACAAGTCACAATTGCCGAACTGTCATTGTCCTTGAAGGCGGCACTCACTGAAAATGAATGTTTTCCTGCATCTGTTTGTTTGGGTTATTCTGAATTTCCATTTCTGAATACTCCATGTATTTTAGCCCAGCACCTGCTGTCAAAGAGCACTTTGTCGCTTTCCCTCGTCACTTCATCTCCTTCTTTTGTTTTGTCTCTTTTACTCCAAGTATTTCCCCGTAGTCACAAGTTCATGTGTTTCTTGATTTGCTTGGCTGCTTTGTTACAGCTAAAAGCAGCTTTAACTGCTCTCCTCTGAGAGCTGAGGTCTCACACAGGACCAGGCACTCATCCCTCTCTTTGGCAGTATCCGAGTAGGAACACTGAGCCCTCGGTGTCTGCAGGGAGAAGCCCGTTCTTGCTGTCCTAGCTATGAGAACAGTCTTGTGATGTGTATGTTTCAGCAACAGGGGGGGAAATACCTAAACTGCATCGACTGCAAGATTAGAGATGAAAATGGTCCTTTTGCTAAGGCAAAACATGGTCCTTAGCTCTGTCAGCCCTTGAGAACAATAGGCACACTGGGGTGGCATCCCCCACTTTCCCTCTGAGCCTCCTTCACATCCCTGCATCACTGCACAGGTTCCTTTCAGGCCACAACCCATGGTCTCCCAGGAAGACAAGGCTCTTGCCTCAGCTGTGATGCAAGCCAAGAGCCTTGTGCCTGCCCACTGCAGCCTGTGGGACTGCTCTGGGGCAGCCAAGGCTCAGACTAGGGCAGCCAAAACTCAGGTCAGCTCCATGGTTCAGACGTCACAGCTCAGCTCCGGGCTGTGGTGGCTCTTAGAAGAACAGTTCTGCACTGAAGGATTTTAAATAATATTTTCCGCAAAAGAAAACCCAAACCAGTATCTTCCTAGAGAGCTGGAAAGCGTGTAATTGCCCCACAGAATTTTTACAGATCATATTTGTGAGGGTCAGAAGATAATTTGCCGTAGGGACACTGCTGTCATTGATGTGTGCCGATGAGAGCAGCTCAACTTCAGTGCAAAAGCAGGAGTTGTGTTTGCAGCATGAGTCCCAGCCAGCCCACAGGCACAATTACCAGATGAAAATCTTTGCAACAACTTAAGAGAAAGACCAAGAGTGAAACTGTGTTAAGTTTTGCCAGTGGCTTCACAGCAGTCTCATATTTTTTACCTTAAATTTTCACATAACTCGTAACCCCCTTTGTGAGTTCTGAAATCTAATGCACCACACATAATGCATTAAATAAATCTGCAATATGGCTTGACAGAATAGAGAAGGAAATGAATCTTTCATGTACTCTACCCTGGAAAAGGGGTTATCCTTCCATTTGGAGAATAATTGGGAGTTTTATTTTGCTTTTCACTTCTGACAGCTATCCTCAATGGTGACACATATCATCTTATTACTACTTACACCGTGGTGAGGGATGACAGCCACAATGATTATAGCACTTTAATAAAAAAGAGACCATTTTAGTATCAATTTAATTTAAGCCATAACAGCTGAACATGGCTGGAGCAAGCCTTTGAGCGACTGACCTGCATTTGATGGCTCTAACTATCCGTGAACACTTCTGAGAGCTGCTTGGTGAGGGAGATGAAAGAGAGGATGGCAGCCTGGTGGTAATGGGAATAGAGTCTGTGACTCCTCTTTGTTCAAACATCCCTTGTGAAATCTTAAAATAGCTGTTGCTTTTCATTAAATCCACATAGTGTTAAAGGGAGAAAGATCTTTTTGTGGCCCTGATCTCTGGGAAAGGGACATGCTGTGCCTGTCACTTGCCATGGGAGGGAGAAGCCTCCGTGGCTGGCAGATCCAAGAACCACATCCTTTCACAAAGGCAGAATGATTGCACATTACTCATTCTTCTCTCATTTTCTTCCTTCCATGTTTTCATGAAAAGAATGATGCTTGCTTTCACCATTGCAATCCCTGTGTGATCTTAACAGAGGACGGTTAATTTCTGATTCTGCTGAACTCATTATTAACCTTCTGCCCGCTCAGCTCATCTCAGTTTTTCTTCTATATTTCTCAAAACAGAGGCTTAAGAGTTTCTTTCTCGTCCAAGATTTTCAAATTTGCAAGTGTCATTGAGGCAATAACAGCATTTTTGAGCTGTACCTTCCAAGCCCTGTTTCTGTGGGCTGTATTTTTTACTGTAGAAAAGAAAAATCAGTAACCATAGCATTCACTGGAGGTACCAGACTGACAAAACCCTCCAGAGCCTGTGTCCTGCCCTCAGATATGGCCATCCATGTGCTCAACACCAAAACAAGCCTTTCAGCATTGTTTGTCAGATTCTGGGCCAAGGGAAGTTCAGGTTGGATATCAGGGAGAATTTCTTCATGGAAATACCTGTCAGTTACTGGAATGGGCTGCCTGAGGAGGTGATGGAGTCCTCATCCCTGAAGGTGTTCAAGGAATGACTGGACATGGCACTCCATGCTCTGGTCTGGTTGACAAGGTAGTGGTGGGTCACAGGTTGGACTCGATGATCCTGGACATCTTTTCCAGCCTTAATGATTCTATGAGTCTATGAAAGGCTGTTGCATGCCATGGAGAGAAAGGACCTGTCGATTGATTTCTCAGCTTCTCAATAAAAACTGCCAATCCAGGTCTTGATTATGCCTTGACTTGTCAAGTCTGATTTATTCAAGGTCTACACAATCCTGGAGAAGACTGAAGTTGAAGGTAGGGCTCAATGCAGTTTATTAACATTGAGACTTGGGGATATTTTTTGTCCCTACTGACAGAGGCTAAATTTGAGTGAAGACCACAGCAAAGTCTGTAGCTTTGTATGACTTGTGTACGTACACTCAGCCCAGGGTGCAGCCTTCAGAAGTCTCTCTAGTTCAGCTTTGTGTTTGATTCATATTTTCCTTTGGCATCTGGTGGGGATCTAAAAACAATTCTCCATGTCATACTCAAATCACTTCAATATTTTGACAGAGACTACATATGGGAGCTAAAATCAGGTTGAATATAAATCAAAAGAGTCATGATTGCATTTTTATGATTAAATTTATCATCCCAAGTGTTGATTTTAGGTGAAGCTAGAAATCTTAAAGACAGTGATTTATAGAAGTCCTGCTTGGGAGAGCTTAAATTTTTTCTGTCCTAAAACTGTTCTCTGGTGAAATTTGTGTTCCTCGCTTGACTGTTCTTGTTTCTATCTGCAACTCTAATGTGCGTAAGTTGTGCTTTTTGTTGAGACCATCAATATCATTTACATTTTTTTTCTCCCCATATAAACCCTGGCCAAATTTTTCATTTCTTTTTTACATACACTTTTCACTCTTCTGAATTTTCTTGTATTAGTCAGCATTTGATAAATATCCTGTCAGCACCACTGTGTCCACATTCCTGCACTTTTATGTTGTGATTTGCTCAGCCCTTCCAAAGCAGATTTACAGAATCATATAATATGCCAAGTTGGAAGGGACCCACAAGGATCATCGAGTCCAGCTGCTGGGCCTGCACAGGACCATCCCCAAGAGTCACACCAGGTGCCTGAGAGTATCATCCAAATGCTTCTTGAACTGTCAGGCTTGGTGCTGTGACCACTGCCCTGGGCCATGAAGGTGTAGTGACTGGGGTAGGGAAACCTTCACCCCAAGAGGTACTGGAAGCTTGTGACCTAGCTAAGGCATCCTGTGAGTCTTTCCCCATGTTCCCACTTTGTTTGAAAACCTGTGTTTGTGTTGCTGATTTATAAAAGCCTTGGTCAAAAGCTGGATTATCGGTTAAAGGTTTGACTCTGTGATCTTGGAGGTCTTTTCCAACCTTAATGATTCTGTTATTCTATGGTTTTATGAAATGGCCTTTTTTATACTTCCTCTTGTGTGTTCTTTGCTGAAAATTAAATGAGTTCAATAGATTCTATATTCGCTTTCCCTGCTAAATTACGCTTTGTAATAGGCAGAAAATATTTTGTGTGCATGATCCATTCTATATGGACTCTTCAGATCTGCTTCTTCCCTTCTATACACCATCATAAATTAGGGATTACTACCATGAATTTACATCTACCTAAACCTTAGAAGAGAAAATAATCAGTCCACGCAGTTTTATTTGAAGGCCATCACTGTGCTTATATTCAAATATCATCTTTGTCATTTCATCACTGAGATTAACTGCACTTACTTAATAAAACTATTAGACTTGGTCTATAACTAATTACAGAAGCTGTTCTGCTCTGGTATTGATTAAAAGCTGACCTTGTGAAGCTTTGGGTTTGCCTCTCAGAATTAACATGCACTTTCTAACAATATATGCAAGATGCAACTATGGACATTTAATTAACTATGCAGGTAATTTGAACTCCTCAAGAGTGTAACTATGACCCAAAAACTATAACATTTTCACCATATTTAAGACACTATCAAACAATTACCTGTATTTTTTCCCCAGTCACAATATTCTCCTGTATGAGGATGGTCATGCTGTAGTTGCTGATTTTGGAGGTAAGGAGTTTTTGTGAAACATTTATAAATTAACCCCAAATTCTCTAAAACTAAACATGTACTGGCTGAGACAATCCTGTAGGATTGCACTGAATACAGGGCTTTTGTATAACAAGGTGTGTGTCTGTATTGGCTTGACAGTAATTATTTTTGTTGTTCTGTTTCAGAATCTCGATTTCTGCAATCCCTGGATGAAGACAACATGACAAAACAACCTGGGGTTTGTTTCTTGTTTTGTTCCAAGTAATTAATATCAAATATACAGGCAAACCCAGTTTAGGAGAAACTGATATTGGAAATATGTTTATTGGAAAAGATGGACTGCTGTAGTGTTTCATCTTTCTCAATGTTTCTCTGTTTTGGCTTTATTTTTTTCCTTTAAGTGCCTTTAATAGCAGAGATGAGGGAATATATAACATCTTCAACAGGAAACAATGTTTTATAAGGTTGTCTTGGGAGCTCTATTGCCCCAATTCCTTTCTAAAGAGTGACTTTTAATCCACCCTTCTCAACTCTCACACACATTTGTTGGCAGGTGATTCATTTTTCTAACAGGGGATCAGTTCTTCAACATTGATTCCCTTATTTCACAGTTCTTTCTCCACAACAGCCAGTTGCTCAGAGTCAGATTTACAAGACAGTTGTTACTGTTGTCTTTATGGGTTTGAGTCCAGATGTGTCCCATGTGTCACTCCGTGGCCAGGAATGTTCACATCATCCTAACTCCTAATGTGAGGTGTGATGGGCAATGCCAAAGGATGGGTAATACTACAGCAGGGCTTGCAATCAGCACTTTACACCCTGTAGTAGCACTTGCTGTGTGAGGAGCAAGGGTTGCTCCTCAGACCCAGGTCCTGCCAGGCCTTAGTGACATCCCACTGAGAAGATCTGTCTTAAGAAGGGCTGTCCCGAGAAGGGCTGTCCTAAGAAAGGCTGACCTGAGGAGGACTGTCCTGTCCTGTAAAGGATGCAGAGTAAAGGAACCAAGGCACAAGAAATCTGAAAATCACCCCAACCCCATTGCCCCAGGGAGAGGCTGGTTCCTTGTGAAGCAGCCTCAGAATTAGGGGTCTGCCAGGAGGGGCAAAACCCCAAGACAGCAAAGCCCCAGCCCAATACAGCTGTGATCAGCTTTTGCTTCTCCAAGCTGAAGCAGTTAATTCCTACTGTATGGAATTTATTCATATGTATACATATATGTATATATGTATATTTATCTCTCAGACCTTATGATGTGGTCTGCAGGCCTGGAGGCTGGGGTTCTTTTATTCTCACCCTACTCTCATGTTTGAAGTCTGCTCAGCCTGGCTGTACAGGGCTGAGACAGCACCAAGCTAATGCAGTTACATATCATGTGCAGTAACACACACTGACTAGATTTTGCAAGCCAGGTAAAAATTCTTCCTGGGAAATTACCAGTTATTTTATGGAGCAGCGGAGGCAGGAAACAAGAAAACAAAGGAAAATAAATATCCAAAGAGAGGAATAGATGCATGTGTGAGGAGGCAAACACTGCTAACGTGTGACTGCTGTTTCCTGGTGCACAGAACCTGCGGTGGATGGCCCCCGAGGTGTTCACCCAGTGCACGAGGTACACCATCAAAGCTGATGTCTTCAGCTATGCTCTGTGCCTCTGGGAGCTGTTAACGGGGGAAATTCCATTTGCTCACCTGAAACCAGGTAAGATGCCCCATGAATTAGTTTTTAAATTTCTTCAAACTAGAGAAGTAGCTACACAGTGTAAGTTTAACCAATAGTTTACTGAAGTGTGTTATTAAGTGCTAAGATACAGCATTTGGTGAAAAGCACAGAAATATCCCATTATAATCATGTATATTACTCACTGCAGATCTACATAACCTACAATTCTTTATCCAGGTCTAGTATTAGGAACAAGTCACTCTGACTGCAGGTTTTTTAATCTCTCACATGGGTGTTGGGATTGCAAAGCCATTCCTTGGTACTCTTCCTCATATACCTCAAGAGAGCACCCAAAAACTGTTGGGGGGTACAACAGCAGAGTGACCTTTCCAGAGCTGCACTTGGCACTCCTGACATTCTGACCACTGGATGTCTGAAAGGAAGTATTAGAGGTCAAGAGTGCTGCAGGATGTGGTCAGAGCCTGCACAGGTAAGGAGGGAGGGCTCAGACCCCTCTGCCAATGAGACCCCCACTGCTGTCTGTCGTGTGACTAGAGGTGGACCCAAGGCCATGGGGATGGGCAGCTCACTCTGCTCTCAGTCTGACTGGAAAAGCCATGCCTTTATCTGCAGGTTGGATGGCTCAGTGTTCCTGTGCCTGCCAGGTGTCGTAGCAGTGAGCAGGTGTGTTCCCAGGATCTGTGTGAGTGCAGGCACTAACAGGTCTCTGTGGGCTGTCCCTTGCAGCGGCAGCAGCAGCAGACATGGCCTATCACCACATCCGCCCACCCATCGGCTACTCCATCCCCAAGCCCATCTCTGCCCTGCTGATGAGGGGCTGGAACGCCTGTCCCGAGGTGAGTGCTCCTGGCTGTGGGAAAACAGGCATGTCTGCTCTGGCTGACCCTCCCCAGAATCCCAGCTTCCATTGGAAGGTTGCCTGCAGAAAGTGCCCAGACACAGAGGTGTGTCAGGAAATACAGGAGAGGTGGTGAATTGAAGAGGAAAGTAAACTGACATTTAGCCATTTAATGAAACCTAAGTAATCATGTGACTTTGATTATGACTTGAGTTATAGTGTGAGTAGAAAACTCCTTGATACTCTCAGACTTTCGTATATAACTGCTAATGACAGCATGTAACACACATTCAGTTTAAATTTATTAATAAGATGTCATATTCAAGCAGCCACAGGGATAGATGCAGTCCCTGTGTCTTGTCAGCATTCCCACAGCCCACTTAGCCCCAAAACCATCTTTTCAGAGTCCCTGTGCACTTTGTTACCCATCAGTGACACTCCAACATTGCTTTATCTTGCCAATGTTTTAGATTTTCATGAAAGAATTATAAAGAAAATTGATAGCACAGTCACCCATGGATGGCCACTACTTTGCACAAGATGTGAGCAAGAAGTTGTGAAAATTACCTTAATTAAAAGTGTTTTGCTTTTGTTCTTTATTGAACTTTCCTTCATAGATGGCAGAGCTGATGTTGCCCCTGGGCTGGAGGGCTGCTGGGAGGACTGCAGGACTTTGGGCCAAAGCCCTTAAACAGAGCCTACCTCTTGCAAGTGGTTCTGTTGAGGACAAGGTGGTGATGGGAATGAGTAGCTTATTTAGCAGTTACCTCACTAAAGTATTCCCAGCCCTCCACTGTCAAACAGCGCTCTAGGTACTGCTTCAGTCACACCTGAGCTTCCCGGGAAGGCTGAGCTGTGAGCTGGGACAGAACACGGATAGGCAGTAATGGAGGACTACTTGTCATTCCCCTCACTTGCCTGATCCTGTCCTGAGTGTGGCCTCCACAAACCTCTGTGCCACTTGAAGCACACAAAGATGGACACACTTGTCCAGGAATGGGCTGGGCAGGCAGTGGGGAGCAGCTGTGGCGGGGTGCAGGTACACGGGTGAGGGGAGGACGGTCACACAGGCAGCTTGTCTGCTGCTCTTCTCTGCTGTTGCTGTGTCCATAGTCCTGTTCATAGGCAAAGCGGAAGCCAACCTAAAGAGCAGAGCAAAGAATGTATTAATAGCATTTTTGTAATCTTATGATCTAGGTATTATTAGCTCAAATGTAATTGTTACAGAAAAAGAGATGAATTGCAGTTAAAGTTGTTATACACACACCTCTTCATTTTGTAGCTCAGCACTGAACTTGCACTTCTCATCAGATTCCCAAGCAGACTGACAGCAATGCCATGAAATTCAGAGAAATTCTGTCCTTGTGTGTCAGTCTATTCACAGCAGATCTGCCCCTTTCCATTTTTGATCTAGCTCTGCTTTTTCTTTTGTGTTCCCAGGGGAGACCAGAGTTCTCAGAAGTTGTCACAAAGTTAGAGGAGTGTCTGTGCAATATTGAGGTAAGGATCTGGTTCCCAGCATGGGGAATCTGTACGTGTACAAGCAGATGGGAGTACGAGTGGAGACAGGGTCAGTGCCAGCAGCTGAGGACACCATTGGCTTTGTAGCTGCTGGAAAAGTCCAAGGAAAAGTGGGGGACAGCTTATGAGAGAGAGATGAGGAAGGACATGGAAATATGCAATAACAGTACCTTTTTTTTTTTTCTTTAATCCAGTTAATGTCTCCAGCCTCCAGCAACAGCAGCGGGTCCCTGTCACCCTCCTCGTCCTCGGACTGCCTCGTGGCCCGTGGAGGTCCCGGCCGCAGCCACGTCGCTGCGCTGCGCAGTCGGTTCGAGTTGGAATATGCCCTGAACGCTCGAGCCTACGCTGTCTGGTCAGAGGGGTGTGTATGAGCCGCCTGGGGAGGGAGAGAGGCTCTGAAAGGTTCAGACTGAGGTGACTGAAGGAAGGAGGCCGTGCTGCTGCAAGGTGTTGAGGCAGGACCAGGACAGAGCTCTCCCAGACCTGTGCCGTCACCTGTGCCCATTACAGAGATCAGGGATAAACTACCTGTCAGCAGGACAGTGGGTTTGGTTCATGACTAGAAAATAATTCCACAATAATTCACCAGAGAAACTTGTTTGCAGGACCCTTTCAGCAGTGACACACAAAATACATGGCAATGACCCTGGATAGATGCCTGGAATTTCTTCTGTGATGACAATCCAGAGATAGTTGTGAAGCCCCAAACAGGGTATTCGAGGGCAGTTACTCTGAGAAGGGTAACTGAGTGCCAGTGTGCCTGTGGGTCCTAGTCTTGCTTCATGACTTTTTCTTCCTTTTTGTTTACTGAACTGCTGTGATCAGGCCCCACACTGATGTCTCATGGTAGTCTTTTCCTCCCAGTCTGGAGAAAAAGCTCCTGTAGCCTTCATCAGTCTTACCTAAACTGCCACCTCTTGTTTAATTTGCAGCACTGGGCAACCCCTCTCTCAGGGCCTGTCTCTGGATGACATGAGAAGGAACTTCCAGTACCCCCCAGTCGACAAAAACGGTGAGTTAATACAGAGGGGTCCTCTGCCACAACAAGTTGTTCTGCTGCCATCAGCACTGCATGGAGCGGGGACAGGAGCACCACTGTTGTGCTGAGCTGCAGTTTGACCCTCTCTCTGCACCTTGCAGGGTACGTGTCGGACCCCTTGAGCACCATGAGGTTCCACTCGTGCGGCAGCAGCGGCAGCTTGGAGGAGAGCAGCTGAGGGAGGGACGATTCGCCTGCCGCCAGCCCGGCCATCAACCTGCAGCCCTCGCTGCTCCACCAAACCCCGAGTGTCACACCGAGATCCCTGAACAGCTTTAGTGTTGATGGCAAATATCCCAATCCTGCATTCTGCTTTAGCATCTCCCTCTGCTGGCCTGCCCGAGGGCTGGGTTTTGGTGGTGTGCTGCTGTTCTGTAACACAGGAATACACACAAGGAATGCTGCACTTTCATCTTGGGCACTGGTAACACGATGAGATGAAAGTAAACATCAGTTATATTCCAGAGCTCTGAGGTAGATTGCTCTCAGCTTGGACAGCCCTGAGTCAGGGGGGAATTTCCAGCTCCATCCCCATCAAGACAAGGAGCAGCCTGTTGCCCTCACCTTCATCCACCCACCATGGGAGCTAGGTTATTCCTGCTCCCAGCTGCTGAACCAGACCTGGTTTGGAGTTCTCTACAGCCCTAGACACATCCTGTGTCCCATTCCCTGCTCCATGGGTTGGCCCAGCTCCTCAGCACAGCAGCCCTGACTGCAGTTTGTCAGGGCTCTGACCCTTGGGTGCTCTCCTGCACGCTGTCCACAACATGGACATATCTGGGTGCCCATCTTCCATCAACTTCTCCAGGCATCCATGTTTTCTTATCCACTTGGTTTGGTTTGAGGGATTGTTTTTCCCCAAAGAGCGTAAGCTTTCCTTCAGTTGTTTGCTTACAAAAAGCAACACAGGAGCTCCAAAACAAACTTCAAATGAGAAGGAAGTTGTGTAAAATTGTGTCACAAACATGATAACATTAACACAGTGCAAAGTGGCATTTTTGACTTGAAGCAAATCTGTGTCAGGGTGCCATTGCAATGGGCACTCAAGTGCCACAAAAAGGCCCTTTAGTAGTGACTGAGCACGAGGAATTAAAAAAGAGAATAGAGGCAGGGCAGGAGAAATGAAACTATTTCTCTATAACCAATTACAGAGTTAACTGTGCTGTTATTTTCTGGAGTCTTTTTTAAAATTAGCAAAGTGTATCTGTATGTATGCTAAGGCAGACTTGGAGTCAGCATTCACCATTGCTGGGCAGAGCTCTGTGGGTGTTATTGAGGATGTTGTGTTCCTGATCCCTGAAGCAGGTCTGCGATGAGGCTTCGAGCAGTGCGACAGACGTGAGCTGTGACTGCGTGGTGGGCTCTGCCAATGCTCTGCTGCCATGCCTGCCATTAACTCCACAGTTCTGAAGCAATAAAACTGGGGAAGATTTCACTTAGCAAGCCTTAGAGGTGGTTTTTCATTTGTTGTGCTTCACTTGCTGAAAAGTTGAATTGGGGGAGAAGGAAAACCAAGCTCTAAGTGCAGCTCTGTTACAGCTCTCCCACCACTGGCCCCTGGTACCAGCCAGTGGTTACCTCTGCTCTGCTGGGCTCATGTCCCAGGTGCAGTTCCATTTACACCAGCAGCTGCTGAGATAATGAAGTGTCAGGATAAACACACAGCAAAGCCTGGAATGGGGCTCACAAGGGGACCTGCTGGACCCTGTCTGCAATCTTCCCGGCCCCCATAAGTTGGGATATTTCCATGAAGGGGGTTGGAACAAGAGGAGCTTTAAAGGTCCCTCCCATCAAACAATAAAACAACATCCAGATTTGTCTGCAGCTGGAGGAAATCTGCTGTATTCTTTCTAGAAGTACAAGCAGAGTAAGCAGCTGGCTTTCTGTGAGGGAAGAGGTGCAGAGCAGAAGGGAGTAGGTGCATCTGAGATGCTGATAAAAATTCCCTACCTGAACCTAACTGGCCAGATGTTCCATATGGTAGAGCCACAGAAGTACAAGCTGATGAGGGAGGGTGAACAGAGATAAGGTCTCATTCCTTGGTGTTCACACTGGCCAGAAACACCAACAGGGCAGAAAGGATCCATTTCATATCTGAAATCTCAGTTCAAGCTCTAAGTTTCTTTTTCTGAGGGAATTTTTTTCTTACAAATATCTCTGCACTCTGTCTTTCTCCCTTGCCTAAAGCAAGCAAGCAGTGACTCTGCATTTAGTGACTCAGCAACTGGGCCAGAAAATCAGAAACTAAACTGTGTTAGAGAACTGAAAATGGAGCAAGGGAGCAGACTTCTTGTTCACTAATACCTCAGTGTACTCACAGATACCTGAGCTGCTGTGTCATCTGTGAGCACCTCCTCAGAATGTGTCACATGGAAACAACAAAAAAACTATAGAAAGCAAAAGTTCTATAGTTTAAAAAGCTCTTTACAAAGCCATCTGCTTGCAAACAATTTTACTAGTAATTAAAATCACTGGTTCCTTGAAGAAAACAATGTCGTAGATAATTGGTCTCTATAGAAGAAACATCAGACTTAGGGGAAAACATGTTTTATAGGAATGATCAGTTAGTAATACAAACAAAAACTCTGAAAAATGTAAATTAATGAGTAGAACATGCTCCAAAGCTGTTTGTGGGAGTGCAAGTAGTCTGTGCTGTTCCTCAGAGAAGCCTGAGGACCCCAGCACATCAAAATATTTACCAAGAATGAGACAGTCCGAGGATTCTTGCGCTGCTTTGGAGACCTGCCAGTGCCTGGCAACTGTAGTGATATTTTAAATTAACATACCAGCAATAGCTTATCTGGATTATCAGCAATAGATTAAAATAGATGATCTAGATTAAAATAATTAAAATAATTAAAATAATATGGAGTCCAACCAGACAAGGGCTTAGACTGCAGGCAGGAGTGAACCTGGCATTCCTGCAGCACATGTCCACCAGCACAGCACAGCACAGCACAGCACAGCACAGGGCAGCCAGCACAGCATGGCCAGCTGCCTCGGAAGCTGGGCTGGCATAGCCTTACCAGACAGGCTGAGGGCTTGGTCATGGCTGGTTTGCACAACTGAACCCCAAAACCCTTAGGCAATTCCCAGCCAGGAAAGTCACCTTGCAGCCCTTGTTTCAGACAGAGAGATGCACTGCTCATATGGTGCTGCCCACCAGGTGCTGCCCACTATCAGCATCCCAGACAGTGTCTGTGAGCCACCATCCCACATCCCTGCCAGCAATGCCAGGGCTCGGTGCCCAGTTCCAGGAGCATGACTTCAAACCTTCCCACGCTGTGTCCACATTGCACAGCTGGCGTGGGTTTGAACTGGTGAAATGCATCTCTTCAGCCTGCGGGATGTCACCAGGTTCCAGCTGTGCGAGACACATCTGAGGCACAACCATCAGCAGCCAGTGACAGGCAATTGAGAACACCTGGCAGCTCAGGGAGTTCCAAAAGCCTTCCTGATGAGCCAAGAATGAGTTATACCAGTGGCAACACTGTTTGATAGTTTGCTTTGCTCACATATGTTCACTTTAATAATTAGTCAGGGGCTTTTTTCTGCTGCACATCTTGTTTTTCCCCAAGTGCCACCTACTTTTCACTTTGAAGTTAATTACTAATTAGCACCAGATAGGAGAACAGAAAGGACCAAGGGAAACACTTCCAAACCTATACAATTATCCTTTTCCACAGTTTTGCTTATTACCAAATTTCTGCCTGCTCAGATGACAGGGACACTAATTTTGAAAGTCCACATACATGTTCTTAACCACAGGATTCCTTCCCCCAGTTGTTACAACCACATGCACAAGTGCCATTTTGAAGTATTTCAAGAATGTTAAATAATGAACTGTCAGTATTCCAGTTCCTTACAATCACACTGCCCTGTTCATCAGGGCCTTTTTGGATGACCTGGGTCTCCTGCAGTCCTGTAGGGGCTCCCAGGAATCCTCCCTAAGGCAAATCCCTGCATCCCCATTTGCCTTTGCTCACCTTGAATTGCCACCCATGTGTCCAAACGCTCAGGTGCAGCCATGCCACAGCCCTAGGCATGAGCTTTGTGTGGGTACCTGCCTGGGGCAGCTTTAGCAGCACACTCAGCCCAACATCAGTCAGTCCTTTGGCAAATTGAGACACACACCACAGCCCAGGCCCTGCTGCACAGGCAGGGGTTATTCCTACAGTTAAACCATTGGCAAAAATTGAAGGAGCTGCACAGACTGGTACAGGTGTTTAATAGACCCAAGTGAACATGCAGGTCTGGGTATGTACACAGAAAACACAACCTCCTGAGATGGTCCTTATCAGGAATGTGCATAGACTGCACGTACAAATGCAACTGCCTCTAGTACAGGAGGGAACACAGCAACCACTTGATCACATTTGAGTTTCCAGTCCCAGGCATACTGATCTGAAGTGACTCACAGAACCAAGCCACTCAAAATCCTACTCATTTCAGCCTCATTTTCCTACCTGAAATGCAATTACAGTCCCTACTGTGTGGGGCTGAGAGTCCTGCACCCACCAAGCATTGCCTAGAGGCTGCTGCACACCCAGCCCCAGGAGCCTGGCTCAGGTGGGCCCATGGAGGTGCAGGAGAGCTGAGAGGAGCCTCAGGCAGCAGAGATGGGAAGCCACTGCCAGGCTGAGACAGCTCCACACTGACCAGCCTCTTGCAGCCTCAGCCCAGGCTCCATGGCCCAGGAAGTCACTCCTGACTGACATCAGCAGAGGCAAAAAGCCAGGCTTTATGCATTTACAAATACTTGTTAGAATTGTTCTGATTTAACAACTTTCAGCATTTCAAAGTGCCAAAAATACCCTGAAGTGTGGCCAACAGCAAGCATGGATCCCTGAGAGAGAAGCCCCCCATGCCTCCCAGCACACAGGGCACTGTGCATGCAGGAGAGCTACCCTCCCCTCACCTGGAGTGGGGAAGTCCCCAAGCTAAAACCCTCATGTGAGGCCTCCTTCGCCCCTGATCCTGCCATTGTGTCTCTGCTGAACACCCCTGGATGATCTTACCAGAATCAGAGCAATGGTATGCACAAGTGCCCCATGCACAGCAGCGAGGACACAGCCTGAATGACAAATGGCTGCAGCTCAGAAAGGCAAAGACACCCCAAAAAATGACAGATACACTCAGATATGGGCACCCTGTACAGACAAACATATACAGCACATCCTCCTGCCCGCCTGCAGGAGCAGGTGATGCACTGGGGAGGAGGAGAAGTTCAGCCAGTCCAGTATTCCTCTGCTTTTTGGGAAAAACAAGCACGACAGCTATGGAACAATCCTGGTGATTACTGTCTTCATCATTCTGAAGCAGCACTGTTTCCTGGGCTGGCAAACACAGGTTTGTTTCAGGTGTCTCCTGCACACTGAGGAGCTGCTACGGTGAAATGTGACAGGTGGTTGTGGTACTCGTGGAGTAAACAGAGGAGTGACATCCCAGCTGGCACAAACCCACAGCCAGTTGCGTGGATGTTGCAGGACACAGCACTGAGGAGCTGCTGAAAAAGCTCAGAGCAGAGTTTCTTCCCCATCCTGGGCCTGTTCTGCGGATACGATGTTTGGGTCTGGGTTTGCGCGGTCCTACGGAACAACGAGCAAATGTTACAGGAAACGTTCTGAACTTGGAGCTGCTGAGGTATTTGCTGTGACATCTCCTACAAGCAGAGGCCAGAGTAACAGCAAAGCCAAGTGCTGATGCTGACCTGGTGCTCCAGAGCCCACAGGTGCTGCCAGGGCTCACCCAGTGCCACCAGAGTCTTTGGCAAGCTGGGTAGGGGTAGCTGCTCTGCACAGCCAGAGGGGAGAGAGGGCAGAGGGGCTGCCACAGCAGAATTAATGCCACAGCAAAGGGATTTGCACAGGATTTTGGGGACAGGAAAGAACGCAGGTAGCAGCCACCCAAAAGGATTTATCACCCATTCTCCCAGCTACCAGCAGCAGACACTTAAGCAACAGATAAGGAATGGGATAGGGGTGCATCCTCTGCCTCTGACAGGGATCAGCCTGGGGGCAGTGACGGACCCACACAGGACTCACCTGATGGGGCCTGTGGCTCCTCTTGCCCACGTCAGCAGCTCCTGGACTCCCTCCAACGGGACTGTCCTCCCTCTGTTGCCTGGCACCAGCAGAGCTCCCTGCACTTGCCGAGACATCCACTACCTCGCACTCTCTCGTGTTTTCTTGGGGGCCCTGCTGTTCTTCCTCTGTTTTCACTCCTGCCTGCTCCATCTCCTCCTGCCGCCCGTCCTTGCCCTCCACTGCCCCTGTCCCGGGAGCTGCCAGCTGTGGCTGGGTGCCCAGGCACAGCCCTTCACCTCCTGCAGATCCTCTTTCCATCGACTCCATTTCCCCATTCCCATGGGCAAGGGTGCCTAGGGAGGTTTCTGCAGTCGGCTGCTCCCCAGGGGACAT